CCCAACAAATAGACTATTAGAGACATGTTTTTCCACCTCACGTCAAAAGTTGTGCGTTTTATAAAGTTGTCAGTTATTGGGGTTTTGCATTTATGCTGACAATTAGAAAAAAGGTGCATATCAGGTAGTAATAATATAATGTTACCTTCTAACGTTCCAAAATGGTGTAGTCATACGACGCGTTTCGTCAACACAGTGACATCATCAGGTGATCCGCTATCGCTTCGTCTTGAACATTAACACAAAACACATATCACGAACACATAATTACTACATTTAAGGACCGATCGGTATTGTCGTCGCTGTGGCCACAACTCGCGTATGCACATGATTAATTCTGGGCGACGACTGCAGGATGGAGGTTTGTCTGTGGTGTACTTTGCACCATGACGTCATTGCTCTTCTCCAGGTGTATTACGGTGTCGAACAATGCATTTCTTTGAGTATTAATTTTGTCATTCAGTACGTTGTCTGGTTCACATTGTACTGCTCTATAAATTTCGTAACACTCAAGTGTGGACATTAAATTACTTTTCTTGCACTTGTGTAATATTTGCAAATTGTTTGAGATAGAACTGTTATTATGTCCACTTTGTATAAGATGTTCAGCATAGTTCGATTTTTGGTTGGTGTTTTCTTGGGGAGGTGTTCTTTAAAACGGGTTTTGAATGATCTCCCTGTTTGGCCTATATAGTATTTTGGACAGTCATTGCAGTTTAATTTGTATATCCCACTGCTGTCAAATTTGTCACCAATACTTCCTTTTATAGGGTTAATGAGATTTTCTAGTTTGTTGGAATTTCTGTAAGAAACTGTATAACCATGTTTTTTAAATATATTGTTGGTTTTACTTGAGTGTTACGAAATTTATAGAGCAATACAATGTGAACCAGACAACGTACTGAATGACAAAATTAATACTCAAAGAAATGCATTGTTCGACACCGTAATACACCTGGAGAAGAGCAATGACGTCATGGTGTAAAGTACACCACAGACAAACCTCCATCCTGCAGTCGTCGCCCAGAATTAATCATGTGCGTACGCGAGTTGTGGCCACAGCGACGACAATACCGATCGGTCCTTAAATGTAGTAATTATGTGTTCGTGATATGTGTTTTGTGTTAATGTTCCAGACGAAGCGATAGCGGATCACCTGATGATGTCACTGTGTTGACGAAACGCGTCGTATGACTACACCATTTTGGAACGTTAGAAGGTAACATTATATTATTATTAATAACTGACGTTCCAGTAGTAGGAATGAATTCTAATATCAGGTAGGCCTACTCTTTAAGTTAAGTAGGTAGCCTTTACTTAAAACTAGGTATTGCAGAATTTGACCGGTTAGTTGTTTTCAGAATGTTAGCATTTTTTTGCCAAAAAGTCTAAAACTTTACAGTCAGGAAGGTAAAAAGGTACCACAGAATAAAAAAAATTAATATTTTTTTGGCACTGCTATTGTGGAAGGTGTAAGAAGTAGGTTAATAATGTGAGAAAAATAATTAGTCCTCAGCTAAACACCAACTAAAATTATAAATTTTTAAAAATTTGAAAACCTGTTTTCACTTTCTAGTAAAAGAATGCACAGAGCTTGAGATGTTTAACTTTCTATGGCTGTTTGGTTCCGTCCTACATCTCCAAGTGTCTGAGAGGAGAACTAAGCTATCCCATGTTATTCACGTTATTTGCCACGGTGAAATGGCAACTGTGTGTACACAACAGCTACATTTGTAGCCTATGTTGTTAGCCTACTTTATACACATTTGTTTGCTGATTGATTTTTGGGGTTTTCCAGAGAAACTATTGCGAGAGTCACTGGTGGAATGAAGGTCAAGGCTGACAGAGATGAAGCTTCTCCGTACGCTGCTATGTTGGCTGCCCAGGTCAGTTGATTGATGTTTAATTAAAACAAATGAAAGACATTTAACTGAACTATAATATAAACTCAATAGGCCTACAACATTTTAAATAGCTGCACTGACAACTCCCACAGCATTAAATTATTGTGTTTTGGCAATGCTATTAAGTTACTGTACATAATCAAGCGCTTTTCTGTCATTTTGATAAGACCTAGTTTGATTTCACTGATTTTGCATTTGATGCCTGAATGTGACAGCGTATAGAACCTGTATTTGTTGAGTATGTTTTTGTTTAAGTTAGGCCTAGTTGTTTAAAATATTTAACAAGTTTTCTTCCCCCCCCCCCCAAAAAAGTAATTGCTTTGTTGAGTTGTGGTGTGTAAATAGTTAAACAGTTTCATGATAAAGGAGTAGGCTCTAGTTGGTTTTTGTTTGGTTGTGATGTGTAGGCCTAAATATAAACAAGTTTACGCAACGATTGTGTGAAGATAGTGTTAACGACTATTAATTTTACCTGGTTGACGTTGAAATTATATTAAATTTTTACCATGCCATTACAATGTTTTTAATAACAGCCCTTGTCAATTAATCAAGTGACCGCTTAATACTGTTACACACAAATGTATTAACACGTAGACTGCTAACGCCGACTATAGCCGGCGTCGCTAGCACTTCAATGTGGCGCGCGCCGACAAGAGTCGGCACCAGACCAACAGAAATATATTGAGTCAGTGTGAGCTTAGCCTCAGACTGAGACGTTATAATCGTTGCCAGCCTGCCAGCTTAGAATGCGAGCTTTACTTTGGTGTAGGTTGGTACTAAAATTTCCCGTAAAATCCTGTCTGGCAATGCTTTTGTCCCGGTTTCGGGGATTTTTTCTCTTCAACCCACATTACAAAGACACTGGATACAGATCCGTGCAGTGCTGCTACCTTTGGGTGTTTCAGTGAACTACATCCACTCTCGGGGTAACGCAGCACAGTCACCGCTGCTCTTTTGTGATTCGTCAGACTGAAATATTTGAATGCCAATTGCGTTCGCTGATTCGGTTGCGTGCCGGGGCTTCGCCCGCCACTGGGGAGCGCCTGTACGTTGTTTTCAGCAGTCATCGTGTTAAGTTAATGACCAAGCCTTTAACCACGGTTCATGTACTAAACTCCATGAAATTATGGAGGATCATTCAAAGAGTAAGTTGCCAGATCTGTGAAAAACCTCCTTTATACATTAATTCAATTCAACCAAATTATAACATTTGTCCATTCACATAATTTATCATTTGGATTCTATTTTGAAATTTGATGGGTTGTTATTAGTTCTAATATTTTTGACAGTTAAACCCCTTTGGTACACAATTGATGAGAATTTCTATTTTAACACCCTTCTGCCAGTCAAGTTTCTGAGTAATACCTTGTATAGGCCTACATACCTTTATCCTACTACCTATAGGATACCTGATAAATGTAGGTAGTATCACTAAGACAAGCAGAAATATGGCACTCGGCCTCACTACTGCATTACCTAAACTTCAGTTAATTTATAGAAAGTACTTGCGGTTCAGCCAATAGGCTATCACAATGTTTGTTATATACTAACGTAGACTTGTTTTGCAGGATGTAGCTGAGAAGTGCAAGAGCTTGGGTATCACAGCCCTGCACATCAAGTTGAGAGCTACGGGTGGCAACAAGACCAAGACTCCTGGTCCCGGGGCTCAGTCAGCACTGCGAGCTCTGGCACGTTCCAACATGAAGATTGGCCGCATTGAGGACGTCACACCCATCCCCTCCGACTCTACCAGAAGGAAGGGAGGTCGTCGTGGTAGGAGGTTGTAATTGCCAAGATCTTTTCTTGTTTTGTTTTATTACTTTAAATAAAAGTCTTGGTAATTTATGTGTGTTTTTGTGATATCACCTTTTAAAAAATTTTTGTAACAATTTTGTAGCTAATAAGCTGTGGTTAGTTTTCATAAGTATGCCTATGTCTTTATGGTAGTATGTTTTTAGTGAGGCATTAAAAATATTTAGGCTATTGGATTTATTAACATTGTTGTTTCATGCCACGTGTAAGATCAAAGTTGGGCTAGTAGCAAGACTCAAGATGGGTCATTATCAATATGATTTACAATCAAGTATGTCTACTGGTAATGGATGTCTCAAATTTGAATTCAAAGGTCTTTTAAGTCACATGGTTTTAATGAGAGCCTATGAGTTAAAAATAGTCATTTGTTCAACCTCCTCAGTTGGAAGCTACAATCATAAAGCTGCATTTTTTAAATTATGTAATTAGTGAAAACAAAAATAAATCTTACACTGCCTTAATACACCAATTACATAGTTATCATCTCATGATTTCTGAAATTTAAGGAATTTCCCCCATAGTTAGAGCATCTATGGGTTGAGTATGAACTCTGAAAGTGTGAGTGTGACACATTTTGACTTCTGATTGTTGGTATCTTTGATATGACCAAAACCAATATTGTCACTCTCCCGGCAGGTGCACAACATGGGGAGGAAGTTTTTTTTCCTGTCATAGGACGCTAGGCACGAGCCCGGAATTGTTTTTCACATTACTTTAGGTTAGACCTAGGGCTTACGGCATTATCACTTAGATCAAATCCATTGGTGATTTGGCGGGATTTGAACCTGGGACCCCATGAACCGCAGTCCCGCGCTCTAACCACTAGCTAGACCAGCTCGCTTCCCTATGGGGAGGAAGTGGCTCAGGGGCGTTTTGCAAAACAGCGCTTATATTTCACAATCAAGCCCAAACCCCAGAAAAATTATAAAAGTCACATTTTCAAATTTAAATGCCCTCTAAAAATTAAATATCTCTCTCCATGTAATTCTTATGTGGAAAATAAAATGGTAAATGACTGAAAATGATGGCATGTACACAGAAATCTCTTTGGAACATACTAGAAACTTATAAAGTTGTGCAAAAATGTAGAGAATACAGTACTTTTTTATAGCTTTTGGGCATAAATATTAAGATTTTAAACCTTGTTTCTTTATAAAGAAGGTAAAACCACTGGTTTTACTGGTTTTGTGGTTAACACAAATAAAGAGATCTGATTATGAAAACAACAGGGTATTGAATGAGGTTGTATGCATAATTTGGTAGGAAACCATATTTTATTAGTGAAATAAGTATTCATATATTATAAGAGGACGGAACACACTATTACAAAATATATGTATTATATACATACAATGATAAAAATATTGTTTATTTTAGAACATTTTTGTACTTAAATCTTGGAAATACGTTTAAGGCCTCAGGTCCCAAAGTATACTACAATGATTGTCTGTAATTGTATTTTACTGACTGTCAAATAAAAATTTACCTACTTTATTCCAAACAAGAATAACAGGACTCGCACCAAATACATAAAATGAGCAGTAAACAAATTTAGGTAAATAAATATTGCATTGGTGCTTAATAATATGGGAAACATTTCATGTACATAAACCTATAGCCAAACATAAAGAATAAAAAGTCTTTTAAAGCCTATTAATACAATTGACTAAGTAAATTAATGCTGATAAACAGTCTGAAAACGTATATTCCTTAATGACATTTTAGAACCATAGAAGGCTGCAAAATCAATGAACTAACCAACAGATATTCACCCATCTACACCACCTTACTTAACATTTTTAACATTTAAAATGTATTCAGAATATAAAGACTTGAATAACTATACAAGCCAAACATTGTTCGATATATACATTTTAACATGTAAAATAAAATATAAGACTAAACGATAACATATATATTCTTATTTTAATAGAAAATATCATTAGATATAAAATAACGAAATGTATAAAAAATACCAAACCTCATAATTTTACCACTGGAGATTCATAACAAACTTAACAGAACAATAACTAAACATGCTATAAAATGATTAGACATTACTATATTTTGTTAATACCGGTACACCCTTGAAAAATACTTGAAATTACCTGATTTAGTTATGTGGAAGATAACATATTTTAATATTGTAAAATATCAAAATCAAACTAAATTGCTCTAATGTATGTTGAAAAAAAGTAAGCACTTATAAAGCTGGTTCAGGTTTGATTTAACACTAAATACTCGTCATCCATCCCCCTTTACAAGTTTGCGCTGATTATTTTAAAGATATTAAAATTCCTCTTCACAAAAATAAAAATAAAAAGCTTGGATAAAAAAATACATAAAAATACAAGGATAAAAAAGTTAGTGAATGGTCTTAGATATTATTTTTAACTATTATGAGTTTTAAGTCTTAATCTTAAATGATTCTCACTTTGACACTTAACTAAAGGTCGTTATTCTGAATGAAGCGGTTCCCTTCTGAGTGCTTTCCGATGTATCTAAATCTACATCTTCCATACATTCCTGCAAAAAAACAAAAATCAATTCCAAACTTATATTACCATTGTTGTCACAATCTGTACCATGTTACACCTTCAAATGTGAGGTTCCTGATTCGATCCAACACAATATGGACCCAGATGCAATTTATATTGGGATTTCAATTAATGATTCTATCTAAGAGTAAATATAATATTAGATTAACAAGACCAGGGTATGGATGGCTCCTTGAAAAAAAAAAAAACATTTAAAATGCACAAGCGTATAGTAGGCCTACATAAAAAACCAGTATCTTTGCATAGAGGTGAAAATGTAAATAAGTCCTTTTCAGTTACTCTAGAAAAAAGTTGGACAGTACCACTATTGATCTTAGAATCTAATGTTAGAAGAGAAAACAACTTATGTTGCGTTATGTAACAACTTGAATTCAAAATTGTAATGTCAATCTTAACAAACAAGTTAACTCTGCTACAAACATAAAAGAAACCATGAAACAAAAATCATTTTGAGTAACTGAAAGCAAAACAATCAATGACAACTGATAAATTGAGTAATTTTCTTAAAATTTGACTAAAAAAACACCTTTTCAAAAGACAAGCATACATTTTAACTTATTTATCCTGTCTATCGTTTGTCCAACAACTTACCTTGATGGTCTTTGCCGTCCCTTGATGCTGGTGGAAGAGGAGAATAATCCGCAAAAGAAGGTTCATCATCATCGTAGTCCAGTGGACTTCTAGATGACTGGAATCCAAAATGAGAAATATTAATCACAAAACTGTTTAAACTAGATACTGTACTGGATAGGTCTAATCCTCAAGAAGGGCAAGAGAGAAAAACTATCTCAATTCACAAAGTTCTATCATAGATTAAAACATAGTCTGTTCCGAATCTGCTGAAGAATTTTTCAAGGTAAGATTAGTATTTACGTTTATGTAAATATATATACACCTCTCGTTTATGTACGGTGTTTTTTATGTACACCTACGTTTACGGAAGTGGACTAAACAAAATCAATGGAAATGCCCCCTTTTGTTATGTAGAAGAAAATGTACTTAAAAAGTCAGTTGTCTTGTGATTATTCACTTTCCTATAAAAGTTATATTATTTCATTTCAATTTATTCTCTCGTTTTTATTACCAACGAAACATCTGAGCCTAAACATATGACTGCATGAGTGGAATTTCAAAACACATAACTGAAGGAAAGTTAAATCTTACGCTAGTAATGGCCGGCCGAACAATCTTCATGAACTTTCCTCTTTGACGAGCCTCCTCCCGTTCATGGTCAGAAGTCGGTCGTGAGTCCAAAAACTGTAGCCCAGGAAGCCGATACAACACATAGTACCTGCACATTTATTAAGTTGAATTATTTCTAACATATATTTGATCTTATTTGTTAAAATCTCAGTGATATATTTTCACCTCATGTTGGTCACATTACGAAAATTAAACAAGTAGTCTATTAGAAACTGAAACTACTAACTGCCCAAAACTTAAGGGACTCATTAGTAGGAACTTAAAGCATTGCAAACTATTAACCCTTCCCAGACCATAGGCAGATATATGCGCTGTCAGTTTGTGCATAGCGGTAGGGGAATATATCCGCTTATCTATTTTGGCTCTGTGGATGGTAGATTATTACAATTAATCTTCGTAAAAACGGTCTTTTATTCAATATTAATCTCTGAAACAGATGTACTAGGAATGTTTAACAACGAGAATAACTTGATTCTCACCAGACCATTTATACGGTTAGGTTATTTTTAGTTGAAAATTTTCAAGTCACAACCATACCTGTATCTCTGGTAGTCATCGTCATCTTTGGTGCTATCAGAGAGCTGGTTGGGACAAGCTACATTACCCAGTAAACTCAAGTACCTCAGTCTAGGCAAGTTGTGATCGATTTTTGTCAGCAACAGGTCAAGATTGGTAATCTGCAAAAACGTGGCAAGATTTAAAAAATTAAATGGCAATTTTCAGAAACAATGTCATTTGGAAGCAAACTGAGTTCAATGTTCCAAGTCAATGATTTTTTGCAAAGGTGTTTTTGTTTTTTGTTGTTGTGTTTACCAGTGGTGCATTTATCAAGTTTTTAGAGCATAATAGTTAAGGAGTTTGATTTTTGAGAATAGCGATTGGGGAATGGGTCCTTAAAAAAGTAGAAAGGATACACAATTCTATGTCCTCCCCTTACACTCCATCTCCTTTGTTATCCTACAAAAAAGAGGTTCTCTCGTTTGATCCAGAAAAGAATTTGAGGCTTTTGTACGGTTTAAAACTGGAGCGAAATGTCATTATTCAATAGGCTTTTACATAATTTTAAATCATCTGCTGTCTTTTAACACGTTGACTGCGCGCGCCGACTTTACAGGCGCTCCCCAGTGGCAGGCGAAGCCCCGGCGCGCAACCGAATCAGCGAACGCAATTGGCATTCAAATATTTGAGTCTGACGAATCACAAAATGGCAGGCTGGCAACGATTATAATGTCTCCGTCTGAGGCTAAGCTCACACTGACTCAATATATTTCTGTTGGTCTGGTGCCGACTTTAGTCGGCGCGCGCCACCTGGGAGCGCTGGCGACGCCGACTAAAGTCGGCACGCGCAGTCAACGTGTTAATAGAGGGATACAGTAGACCCTTAACCGACCATAACGGGATCGGATCTAAGTCAAATAAAAAAAGGTTGGTTAAACCGGGCAATCCCCAAATAGTAAATACTTTAAAAAAAATTAAGCACTATTCTAATAAGAATATAAAATCATTATTCTAAAGTAGTGTGTGCATTATTTACAAAATAAACTATACATCTACTTTTTTTCTTAACCCTTTCCACTCTCTTGTCAACCGTGAGCCGTCATCGGCCGTTTCACAATTGTATCGCCGAACGTAGGAGCAAAAATGCCAAGATTCCTAGAAATCAGCGGTTAAACCAAACTGCTCTCAAAACAAGGACGGTTAAAACAACCTGTAATATTTTATGAGTGAGAGCGGATAATCCGATTATCGGTTAATGTGAAGTCGTTTAAGAGGGGGTCTACTGTATTTCCAATACTGCGACAGTTCTCATTGCCAAGAGATCTGTATTATTTACCTGGTTAACCTATATCACTCCTGTGTAGCTTTGCTACTCACTAAAAACAGCTATTTACTTGGCCAGGAGCATTTACTTGGCCAGAGGAGCATTTACTTGGCCATAGGAGCATTTACTCCGAGTACTATGTGTTGAATGTAATTTTATTTTTATATAATATGTTTGCTGTTACTTGTCCTGTATTTAATTTAATTTATGTTGGTAACAGCTGATCATGTGTAAATAGTTAGGATTGTTTTTATTGTAATGAGAATTGTTGAATAAGTTATGTTTGAGTAAAAATGTTGTGTGTGTGTACTTCAGTAAAATAAAAGATAATTATTGTAACAGTAAAACCTTAGGTGTTAGTAATTTACTTTCACTTAAGTCAACAGGTTATGGGGCCCAGAAAAATTCATTAATTCAACCATAACTGTAAAAACCAGAAGTAATCTAGTAAAACCCCAAGAGTTAAAGTGTAGTGAAGGTGAGTGAAATAGTAAAAGTAAGACTAACAATGGCATCAGTAAAAGAAGATGATTTTGTAGAAAAACTCAAAGGAGTTGAAACTTTTCCATTGTGGAAATTTCAGATTAAAATAATATTTCAATCCAGTGATTTGATGAGTATTGTTGATGGTTCTGAGAAACTTGAAGATATGGGTGATGGAAAGAAGAAGGCTGATTGGATTAAAAGAGATGCCAAGGCTCAGAAGTGTATAGTTAGTTCTATTGAGAAGGGACCGATGTTACATATCATTAACTGTGAAAACTCAAGAGAAATGTTTTTGAAGCTGTGTAATATTTATGAAAGAGACTCAGAGCAGCAGAAGTACTCGTTATTACAAGAATTCTTTAACCTCAGGTATGAGCCTAATTCTGATATAAGTTCTCACATAAGTAGAATTGAAAACATAGCACACAGACTAAAAACTTTAAAACAAGATATTGATGAAAAAATGATAATATCAAAAATTCTTGTCAGTCTGCCAGATAGATTTAAGTATTTTGTAACTGCCTGGGAATCAATGCCCAATGAAGAAAAGACATTGGCAAATCTAACAGCGAGACTGTTAGCAGAAGAGTCAAGAAGTGAGTTAAAGGAGGTAAGCCTAGAGAAAAATCTTGCATTCCAAGTTGTTTGTCACAACTGTAAAATTCCAGGCCATAAAGCAAAGTACTGCAAGAAGCCTACATACAATAGGGCTAACTCTGATAATGAAAGGCGATGTTTTAAATGCAATGCTGTTGGTCATCTAGCAAACACCTGTGGAAATGTAAAAAAATTTGTTAACAAGTTTGAAAAAAGAAATGTAAAGCCAAATTTATTTTGTAATATATGTAAAAAGTCAAATCATAATGAAAAAAATTGTTACTTTAGAAAAAGCCAGAACCTAAATGTCGCTAGTAAAACTGTGTCATTTTTGTCGTATGATGATGGACAAAATGTTCGGGGTAATAGTGGGACTGTAAACTTTGTATCTGAATGGGTTGTTGATTCAGGCACATCTTCACATATAAAAAATTGTGCAGATTTGTTAAGTAATAAACAAAATATTTCTTCTGAAATATATGTTGCTAAGAAAAATCAAACCATGTTAGCTTCAACGAGTGGAACTGTAAAATTCAAAGAATGTATCTTGAATAATGTGCTATATGTTCCTGAACTCAGTGAAAACTTGTTGTCTGTTTCTGCAATAACTAATAATGGTGGTGAGGTTACTTTCTCTGAAAATACAACAGAGAATGACCAGAAAGGAGACAAAAATGAAAATGATAAGAAAGAAGACAAAAATGAAAATGACCAGAAAGAAGACGAAAATGAAAATGAAGATATTGAGAGTGCAGATAATCTAAGTGAGATAAGTAATAATGAAGTAGAGTTTGAGTTGGTTTCAGACAAAAATGAAATGAATGAAGAACAGCCAAGTTTAAGTAATACTGATACTACACAAAGCATCAAACTAAGAAGAAAAACTAAACTACCTGAAAGATATAAAGAGTTTGTGTTGTTAACATATGAAGAAGCAATCAAAGGACCAGATAAAAAAAATTGGCTACAAGCAATTGAGGATGAGAAAAGCTCCCTTATTGAGAATGAAACGTGGGAAGTGGTTGACAAAAAGCAAGCACTAAACAAGAAGATCCTAAGTAACAAGTGGGTATTAACAAGAAAGGATAACGGAAAATACAAAGCGAGACTAGTTGTTAGAGGTTTTGCCCAAGAACAAGGTATAGACTATGAAGAAACCTACAGCCTAGTTGTAAGTAATTCAACTTTACGTTTGTTATTTTCATTAGCTGCCAAACAAAATCTCAAACTAATGCAATTTGATGTTAAAACTGCTTTTCTCTATGGAAATTTAGATGAAGAAATTTATATGTGTGTACCTGAAGGGTTTGATCATAAAGATAAAGTTTTGAAATTAAGAAAGACTTTATATGGACTTAAACAAGCTCCATTTAAATGGAACCAGTTGTTTACAAACTGCTTGCTAAAATATGGCTTAAAACAAACTCAGTCTGACCGTTGTGTTTTTACAAATGGCAGTATTCATCTTGCTATATTTGTTGATGATGGAATTCTTGCTGGTTCAGATGAAAGAGAGATGAAGAAACTTTTGAACGAGCTGTCTAGAGATTTTAAAATAAAAACAGACGAAAACCCATCAAACTTTCTTGGAATGGAAATTTTATATTCAAGGGAAGGGATATTGTTAACACAAAAGAACTATTCAAACAGTATTCTCGAAAAATATGGAATGATAGATTGTAAACCTGTAGACACTCCCATTTGTCCAGTGAAAACGAGCAAACCTGATGAAGAAGTAAGCTGCCTGACAAAAGATTATTCTTACAGAGAAGTTGTAGGAAGTTTGCTGTACTTATCCAATAAAACCAGACCTGATCTTACACTTGCTGTGGGATTAGAAAGTAGATGTGTTGAGAATCCAAGCAATGAAGATGTTGTAAATGTCAAACGAACCTTAAGATATATTAAAGGTACTCAAGACGCAGGAATATTATTTTCAGCATCAGGAGAAAATTGCCTAAATGTATATTGTGACGCAGACTATGCAAATTGCAAGCATACAAGAAGAAGTACTACTGGATTTGTCATAATGTATGGAGAAGACCAATAAGCTGGTGTACAAGAAGACAACCGATTGTAGCTTTGTCCAGCACTGAAGCAGAATACATTGCAGCGGCGGAATGTGTCAAAGAAGTGTTATATTTAAAAACTTTCTTGCAAGAGTTGAGTGGAACTAATGTTGAAACAAACCTAAACATGGACAATCAAAGTGCTATTAAGCTTTGTAAAAATGGAATTTTTAATAAGCGAAGCAAACACATTGATGTTCGCTACCATTTTTTGACTGAAAATGTAAGGCAAGGTAAAATAAACATTTCTTTTGTTTCTACATCCGAGAATGTTGCGGATATGTTTACAAAACCCTTGAACAATGTCAAGTTTCATCAATTTAGCAAAGCTTTGATCAACTATCCAAAATCTTGAACAGAAGACGACAATCGAGATATTTATTTTTTGTTTCTTATATAAAATTAAAATTAAGGGAAGGTGTTGAATGTAATTTTATTTTTATATAATATGTTTGCTGTTACTTGTCCTGTATTTAATTTAATTTATGTTGGTAACAGCTGATCATGTGTAAATAGTTAGGATTGTTTTTATTGTAATGAGAATTGTTGAATAAGTTATGTTTGAGTAAAAATGTTGTGTGTGTGTACTTCAGTAAAATAAAAGATAATTATTGTAACAGTAAAACCTTAGGTGTTAGTAATTTACTTTCACTTAAGTCAACACTATGATCAAGGACATCAGGGTGCAGTATCAAACCATTAAAACGCGATTTCATTTCAAGCTCAAACCATCTACCTTCTCATTACCATACAGACTAGGAATGAGCATCGATAGTCGATGTTTTCGAAACATCAATGGTAGGTTATAAATATTTTTGTTACATCAATGTTTTTGGCCAAGTATTGAGATATCGATGTTTTCCATTACTGGAGAGTACTAAAAGCAGACGAAAAACTGAAAAAATATAGAAAAACATCAATGTTTTAGTCCCAAAAACACCGATGTTTTCACAACGATGTTATTGGTACATCGATGGTTGACGTCGATGTTACCATCGATGGTTGACCTATCAATGCTCATCCCTAATACAGATAGATGCACAACTCACATTGTTCTTGTTGAGAGAAAGGGTGTGCAGATCAGGTAGTGGGGGAAGCACCAGCGAGTCACTCAGCTGATTATTATCCAGCACAAGTTCTGTGAGTTGTGAAAAGTTGGCGAGTTCATGTAGATTGGTGAGCGAGTTATAACTCAGGTCTAGAGCTTGAACTCGAGATCCGTACAACTTGGACAGAATCGGCGGAATACGGTGAACGTCCTGTCCCACGTAGCTTAGCTGCAACAATACAGAAATTGAAAGTCTTGAAGCTTTGATCCATATGCTAAACCTTAGCTTGAGATTAATCAGGCTTGAAATACTGATTTAGTCTTACTATGGGTGACACTCTTCGATATAATAATTTCTCTGATGATCATCATCATTGATTGAGTTTTGCTCATGTTTCTTTGTGAACATAATCCAAATTATTGAGGCACATTACAATCAAATGTTTGGATATATAATCGAAATAAACTATCATTCCAATGCAATGAACTCTAAGCAATGGGCTCTTCTGTTTAAAAGTGCAAACAGCATTTTTCTCAACACACTAAAAAAATCATTAAACTCAGTTTAGAAAAAAAAAAATATATAATTGCAATTAGCCTAATTTGTGAGCAGTTCCAAAAGTAACAAGTACAGTGTTACATGTTTCGACAGAACATCATTTTCAAACCCCTCAATCTTAGTCCACAGGAAATTCAACACCAGAACTGAAAATGGATTCATGTAACACTTCTACATGTACCGGTAACACTTTAAAATTTTTGTAACGACCTTACAAAGTATTTGTAAATTCATAAGAGTGATTGAGATTTCAGGGCTTAGTACAATGCATTTTAATTTTGAAATGTCTGTTTCAAAGCCTAAGCATTTTTTAAAATGTTTCTATGAGATAATGGTTCAAACTCTATTCTTGTACCACCTAACGTTGACCTTTTGAAGATGGTATCAAAAGCCCCATGACAAATGGGATCTGGGTCTAGCATCGGATCTTGCTTGTAACCGAACCAGCATATTTCAGATTTAAAGGTGAGCACCAAAACCACTCGGTTACCCAGACAATTAACATTTCGATGTTGACAAAGTTTTACACCCTGTGCCTAACTAATGTGTTGAACAGTAAATAAAAATTAAATGTTCATAGCTGCCAATACCTGTGCTAAGTTGCCTAAAACGGAATCTACATTGAGAGTGAAGCATATGTGTGACAGAACACAGTCTTTGTTAGCCGCAGCGGCAGCTAGGGCGAGGCTACGTCTAGAAGTACCGTGGTCGTTGGGACAAAGCGCTGCCTGGCCGTCGTGGGGCGTCAACACGGCCAGAGTGTATTTGAACACACAGGAGAATGATTCCGGCACTGGCATTGCACGAGAGAATATCCACCAACCAAACTGTTGTTGTACAATTTATGCAATTTTGTTGTATGTTTTTTAATTAGTTAACTTGGCCTACATATTCTTTTTGGGGGAAAATGGCTTAGTTAATTCTATATGAATATTTTAAAAACACAGAATGATATACAATTGCAATATATTAGACTATCAGTCACTAAAGAAAAAAATTCATCCACAAAACTGTCGTTGCGATAAAATCACAAAACATAAGGACAATTTAGCTCTCTAAAACTATTTATTTTTGTTAAAGTTTTTCATAGTTTCGTTCAACAAACAAAAAAGCACAATATTTATCACGGCCAGTCTTCAAGAAAACATATCCACTTTAAATCTTTTGCACTGATTCCAGTGATGAGGTTTCCTCATCATCTGTCTCGCTTTCATTTCGACACTTGTACACTAAAAACTTGTACAACAAGTAGAAAAGGTAGTAATACACTACAATGACCATCAACATAAGGTGTTTTGATCATTACTTTCACTTGAGGAAGGTTGTTGCACAATAAAATTCACTAACAGTCACACCAGTAAGAGTAAGCACTAGCTGATTAGCATTGCAGGCATCACTAGTGTAAGACGTAGGCAGGGGTAGAGAAACCCTTCAAGTCATAGTCACGTCACATCACCAACCATTGATTGATTTCTCCAATTTCAAATCAATTATGTGGATTGAGGCATTGAAACCTTTTAAATTTAAGGGATTAATTTCTAATTATTAAAACTTAAGATTCTGAACTAATTCCATTACTAAAATTATTGATGTGCAAATTTTGCCATGGTTCAGGATACTTAAAACAAACAGTTACTTTATGCAAAAAAAAAAAAAAAAAAAAAAAAACTATGTCGGAAACATTTTATGAGGTGTGACAAAATTAGTTTTACTTGGTAACAAAAGTATGGATGGTTCCATTTTTATTAGCGCCAAAAACACCATCCGTTCAAATTCATATACAAACATGTCCGTTAGCACGATAACTTGAGCAACAATCATCTAATTTTGATGAAATTTGGTATAAACCTAAATTTATTTCAACGAGTATGTGAACCAGCATGATCAGCTTATGGGAACAGGGGTTTATAGGTTAAAAATTGGGATTTACATTTTTTACTCAAAAACATACATTTTGTAATTTGTAGGCCTATAGCTTAAAACACAAATAATTTATTATATTTTGTTGTTATGCACTTAATGGTTAAGGAGAAATTTAAAATGTCTATAAAGTTCTTCATTGAAGATAAAGTCCCTATGGAACTTTGAATCAAATGAAGATTATTTTAGCGAATTTCCCTATAGGGAAGTAGCTATTACCGTAGGTCTCATGGTAAGACCTAAGCCCGGGACCGATTTACTTTTTCATTTTGATGTCCCCAGAGGCCAAAAACACCATTCGTTCAAATTTTTATATATCTATATATAGATATATATATATATATATATATATATATATATATATATATGTGTGTGTGTCCATCCGCACGATAACTTGAGTAATTTTTGTCCGATTTTGATCAAATTTGGTTTGAAGGTGTAAGGCGGGATAAACTTGAATGAGTTCGCAAACCAGCATGATCGGACCATGGGAATGGGGGTTTACGGGGGGTTTTATGGGGTAAAAATAGGGTTTTCCCATTTTTGACCCTAAAAACACAAAATTTCACAATTTATTTTCAAACCATTTTGTAGAGCTTAAAAAAACAAATAATTTAGTATATTGAAGCGTTATTATGCGCCTAATTGTTACGGAGAAAATTCAAAAAATTGTAATTTTAAAATTCCCATGTTATTCTTATGGAGAATAAGTCAACTGTTGTTGTTTGCACATATTTTGATCAAATTTGGAAAATACATTAATTTCTTACTAAAAAACAGTACCTTTTAATATTTTACATTAAAAAAAACTTTTTTACCCTCCCTGTTGCAGCAAACCTAAGTACTCATTAAACTAATTCTGTTAAAATAGGGAATAAATGTGATATTTTTAAGGAGACATTTTAGTTTAAATCCAATCAGGCAGATGGAAATTCGCTAAGTCTGCAGGTTTGCTGCGGCGGGGCTATTTATTCTGGTTTCTGTCAGATTGTGTTTATTATTTGAGGGATCACACGATGATAGAATAGGCCACTGTATTTTTGCGGTTTTTGTACAACTAGAAGAGCTTCCATAATATTATAAGAAAGAACAAACAGGATTTAAATTTCTGAAAGTTTTGTTAAACTTTTAACAGGGATTTAGATTTTGTTTGAAAGATAAGAGAACATTTTTTCTCTTATTACATCTTATTTTATCATTCATGCCATATGCTCAGTACGGTACATAATAAAGGCAAGTGAGGCTAAAAAACAAAAACAAAAACCAAACAGTAAAACTGAAAAGTTTGATCAATAAGAAGAACCTAAATCATGGAATCATGGATACACTTTTTTATGTTGAGATTAATAATAAATGGGATGATAATTTCAATTTTTTAGATGTTGCACTACAAAAGTTGAGAAGTGATTTTGTTTCTTTGACACATACCAACAGAGAAGACCCACTATGTCATTTAAACACTGCCCTCCCTCGTCCTCTCTTTCTCAAACAGGCCAAATTATCCGCATGCAACTGGGCACTTCCTGATGTCCCTCTTCCATTGAAACAAAGCTCCCATTTTAAGGATCAAGCTTCTTTCTCTTTTGCTTTTTCATACTACTAGTCAATGATACTACTCAAAAATATAAAATCTCCCCTCATATTCTTCTCTCATATCAAATCCTCAGGGACACACAAAATCATCCCCCTGAAAACAATCCCCCTCCCCTATACTAAATGTTGTGTTACAAAACCTGACAACCAGCTGGTATTAAAGCTAGGTCCGTGAACGGGATACTATCCTCCTATGCAGCCTACCTGCTGAACGTCTTTCCACGTTCAGGTAAGGGAATCGCTAATAAGATATAAACACAAGCTCCTAAGGAGAATTTACCTCATGGCTACCCTTCCCTCAAGACCGCAGTGAATTAGTTTGCTTACTGATGTAACAAAGGCAGTGGATCTAGACTTGGAGGTCACCAATTAACCTGCCCAGAATTGGGGAGAAGCAACTCTATTGTAGACCTGGGACCACAGTGAAGGACACTGGTTGGGCCTGGTGTCTTGGAGCAGCAGACGTGGTAGAGGATGGAACCACGGTGTATGGACATTAAACAGCTAACTTGTGTGTTTAGGACATGTGACAAAAATTCTGATGACTATCATGAAGATTATCCCAGTTGGGTCAGTCCCTCAGCATGAATCCCACCCTTCCATCCAGGGCCTGATTACCCGTTAGGCTAATTAGGCTGGAGCCTAGGGCGCCAGTCAGCCAAGTGTTTTAGGGGGGCGCCAGACAGCTAAGACTTAAAGTTGGGACCGGGGGCGTAAAGTCCCCATCTAAAGGCCCTAATAAAATTGTTTTAGGCCTAGGTGATTAACAGAGTTAGTTTAGAAAGTACGTATATTATTGTTTGGTTTTTTGATATTGTAGGTTAGGTCTACTTTTGATTTAATACAATCATAATTATGTTTAATAAAATGTAAAATAAATACATCTATATATAAAGCCAAGAGTACTGTACTCATGAACTTTTGAGAAAACTACAAGTCACACCCCCATAAACCATATACTTAAAAGGTTCGTCATGACGAGAAACCATGCGCAAAACTATCCATCATTTCATAAATTGCCCTATAAAGTCGTAATTGCTTTCCAAAGGGAACTTTCCATTTACCTAATGTTAAAAATACCTCAGCTGTTATTATTTGTTTGTATTGCCATTACTGTATTCTGTTTTGTTTATTACGGCTTAACTTAACCAATCAACAGTTCTATTAATACTTATGTAGTAAAACGGGGTGGAGCCTGTGGGTAACAGCTAACTTAGTTATTTTAAATCAAAAAGTTTCACATTCCTTGAACAACCAATTTGTTACTATTTTAAACCTCGTTCGCAATAGTGCATCACGACACGGACGGGCGGCCGTCATGGCATTTGTTTAACATTGTACATAAGGTAAAAAATTGCAGGTTGTCCGTTGCCGGCGTCCCTGGGACGGCCGGCATTTTCCACCCTAGCCTATGTTCAAGGTTTAAAAAATTCTGTGACGGCCGCCCGTCCATGCCGTGCCGCCCTAGTACGAACGAAGCTTTATAAGGTCGTACTGTGAACTTATTTTAAACAAAGTCTGTACCTTCTGTATCTATACTCAACCAGAATTAATAGTGCATATGACTATGACATATTGTGCAGCTCTTAAATTTAAAAAATTATCTCAAAGTCAAGATGATGCATTAATTTATGATAAGTTTTCTTTTGTTTTTAAATCAAATGAATAGTAGCCTAGTATAATGCCTTTGGTCATTTTTAATTTTTGAAATTTTGAAAGTGGTGGCAGAGAGGGCTAGTGGTAGAGAGGGGGGGGGGGGGCCGCGAAAAAACGTCAGCCTACTGGCGACTTGACCCTTAATCAGGCCCTGCTTCCATCATCGATGGGTTCTAGTAAGATAGTAGATACTTTGGCACAAAGCTTTCTCACAGCTAGTTCTCCAAAAACACTAAGTCGAACTGCACATGCTCTATGAGCGTTCAGAGTAGTGGCGGCTAGTGCAACTGATTCGAGGATTTGTGCTGATTTAACCATTTTGGATAGAGAAGAGATAGCGAGCTCTGGTTTTCACCATTCTTTAAGTTTTTGTAAACTCTTCAAAATAAGGTGTAACTTAAAGGGGGTTTAGGCTACATTTAAAAATTATGAGTTGCCCCCAAACTACCCCATTTTCGGGGGACACTCAAAATTTTCAAAATCATAAAATGATAGGCTACTTCCTGTTATGATTACGTGACCACCAAAATCATATCCCTGTATAATATATACTTAGAAAAATATTAGATGGGGGGTCTTGATTTTTTATTCACCCTGTATGTTCCACAACAAAAAAGGGACAATCATAGCCATCCGTACTCCCCAGTGTGAGAAGGGCACAGTCGAGGGAGAGGAAGGAGGATGAGGGAATTTGGCTTCCTAAAGCCGCATACAGGAAATCTGAGAGGTTTACCAACAGGTCTAAGAGGAAAAGGCCGGTGTAAACTGCTAGCCTCTTCCTTGATGGGCTTGACCCTCTGTCTACTTAGGGACTGGCCACTGGTTTAAGGTCCGGGCTAGCCCCAGATAGACCGGGTCAGGAGATTCCATCATACAGATTATAGACTCTAACTAGTTAAGAAACAAGGGTTGAAGAACCCAGGGACGGCTACACCACTCATTAAAAAATCTTCAGTATGTTTAGTTTTTTGCAATAAAAATAGTTTGTTTGTTTTGATCTGTTTTGTTTCAGTCTGGCTGGCTAGCTACGATGAGCGCCCACTCTATGGGTGGAGGAAATATCCATTCATACTACCTATCGTAGCATAATGATTACCTATCAATAGTAAACTGAAAGAGAATCAGTTTTTGTTTCATTAGTTTCAGACTGTAAAATAGTGTATAAATTTATTATAGCCTATTCGAGATGAGTAGAGAATAATAGACTAAAACATAATTGGTGGGCTATTAGTGAGGGTAAATAGAGAGTGATCTACAGGACCTACAGGTTTATTTGTTGATCTACAGCTTTACTGGTCATGGAAATTTATTTCCAACAGTGATGAAAAAGTTTTTACTAATGAGAATTATAATATAAAATAAATTATATTTTTATGCAAAGTATTGATATGGTATAGGCTATGCTGTGCAAAAGCCTATTTTACAATTGTCTACTAATTTATGGATAAAAAGATTGCAAGTCAACAGTAAGATAGCAAAAAATATAATTTTATTAGGGCCTAAAATAGACTTATGCACACCTTTTTTAAATGACGGTCAAACATTTATGACATAGGCCTAACTTAAGACTCAATAAATCTTATTTCTGTATCTGCTGTGTTTGTGGCAAAATTATGAAATGTTCCGTGATCACGGAGACATCATAAACATCTCCCATGATCATGAAACATAATGAACATCTTCCTCAGGGGAAATATAGAACCTCTTCGACAATCACAGAGGCATACTAATTGATTATGATTACGTCCTGCTAGTGAAGCAAATTTTTAAAATTCTTCTGCGATTACGGATTCTGGTAGGCCTACATCAAGAACATCACCCGCAATAACGGGGGGCACAAAGAACATCTTCCGCTATCACAAAGGAAAATACGAATATCTTCTGATATCACGGAGGAAATATTAGCCTAACGTATTCCATGATTTTGGACACACAATGATCGTCTATCGCAATGGATCTTTCGCAATAGCAGCAAAATCCTTTTGTCAAGGAAAGGGGGGGGGGTTATGACCCCCCCAAACCCTTCGTTGGCTACGCCACTGCTTCAGGTGCACCCTCTCCAGTTTTGAAAACTCACGCACCCTCAAATAGATTTACCCAATAAGTTAAATTTATTTTACCTTTCCAAAATTGGGCTCTTACGTTTGGTAATTTTTAATCATGATAGTAATGCCTACTCTAGTCCTTTTAGGTCCTTAGGTCCGAGTACTTTTCACTTAGTCACGGTACTTACCGTACTTTGTATGATCGCCATTTCAATAAAAAGTATTTAAAAGTATAAATACAATAGGCCTACCTTAAAGTAATACAGCGAGTTAAACCTGTGATTACACACATTTTTTTACAACATTTGTCTATTTATGACAGGTAATATTTTCTTACTTTTACTGGATATATAACACAACTTATTTGTTATTTCAAAAGATACCTTGACTACAGGTCAAAAGGTTTCTAATTCTGTTGTAAGCCCTCAAAAGCTGTTGAAAATATTTGTACAATACTAACGTTCTTTTTATTATTGTGAACTTGTGTTTAAAATACATATGAACTCGGCGGAAACATGAATTTTACTTATAAACATAACCTTGTATAATAAAAATGTGCAATGTGGACCAAGACTGACTAAATGTAGGTCGCCTTAACCTCAACATCATCAAGAAGCAGCTCTTGAATTAAATGAGTTGCAGCTTAAATTAATGGTTATAAAATAAATAACTAAAATCTCCAAAACAATTTTCTAAAATAATAATATATGATAAGCTTAGTTAGGTCTAATAACATCACTTACCCTTCCATTAAAAATTTTTATTGCGCCCAAAGATTCCGTAGTGTTTTCTTCAGAGTCCATCCTTAAAGTTAAGCTGTTATTACTTTCAAATAGTTAGTAAACTAAACCTTCTATGATAATTAGAGTAAATCCCAAAATTAAGAGAAACTATATTATTTACAGTTTTATATTTTAATTCTCTCTCTGTTGTCTGCTCGCACGCACTTGACGATATTTGATGTTGTTTTCGATTTCGTTTTGACGTTTTGTTTTGTTTTTGTTTTGTTTTTGTTTTGTTTTTGTTTTGTTTTTGTTTTGTTTTGTTTTTGTTTTGTTTTTGTTTTGTTTTTGTTTTGTTTTTGTTTACAGCTTTTCATAAGTACTTCACGACATCACGCCAAACAGTGTTGTTACATCACCTGAGTGTTCAGAAAAATGCAGAACCACTTTGTAGGGCTGAGCATATATATAAAGTTATTACACTTTAACTTTGTCCAAATATTTTCTTGTCGCAGATAAAATTAATATAATACTTGAATAATTTACAATGGGGACTACAAGTAGATTTATATAATCTTATTATGGAATTTGAGGAATTATGGGTTTGTCTCGGTTTGTCTGTACAGTTGCTCGCCTAAATGGGCGTATGTTTAGTCTATGATTGATACAGTACATCATATTGTGCTACTTTATTTAGTTTATGATTTAATCTAAGGTGTGGTCAACGCTTGGGTGCCCTGATGTCTAAACTCTAAACAATTAAACTATTGGCCTTTCATAGATTTGTAACATAAGCATATTTTGACATCAATTATCAACCATTAAGATGGGGATGCCACTTAGGTGCGTATTTTAACCCAAATATGAGTGAAGGGTGAGTGTAGAATGGTGTGAGATTATCTGTGTAGCTTTGTTACTGACTAAGATCAGCTGTTTCATTAGCCAGGATCATTTATTTAAAGCCCAATGATCAGGAACAGCTCTGGGTCCAGTTTCGAACCATCAAAAAGCTACTGACTTTTCTCAGGATCGAACCGGCGACCTTTTGATTAGTATGCGAGCACTATAACCACTCAGTGTAGGTGGTATTATGTTGGTAACGTTTGAGTAGGCCTACTGATACCAGAGCCCACCGTACCGAACACATTTTAGTGAATTATTACCCTAGGGAAGCTATTACCGGAGGCATCACAAAACATATATTTATGTACCGATCCGATTTACTTTTCTTGTTTGGAGTAAATTAAAACCATAGATAAAACATAGGTAAAACTCAACCGATTTTGATGACATTTTGACGTACAAATTAAGAGTACAAACCATCATGATCGGACAATGGGGACATTATTTATAAGGTTTTTTTGTGATAACAATTAGGGTTTCTTGTTTTTCAACCCTCAAAAATTGTAATTTTGCAATTTCTTTCTCAATAATTTTGTAGGACTTAAAACTAATAATTTAGCTGCAGCATTAATTGTGGGGTGATTACAGTAATGCTTACAGAGAAAATAATTAAACCTCATTGATAACTATACAACAATAAATATACGCTTATTGGTAATGAATTAAAGAAAACAGGGTTTTATCCAACGATATGGTTTTATCATTAAAATGTCTCTCACAGTACTTTTATTTTGGATTGCATTTACCCTGTCATAAACAAACACTATCGATAACTGACAAAAAGTCATGTAGGATTATTATATAATGCAATGACATGTGAGGTAAGTAGAATCAATTGATAAGAATCTCTGCTAAGTGGCTTCAAGGACAAACTCTGACTGACATTAATACACTGAAACAGTTTTGGAGCTCTAGATAACACATTCGCTGTTCTCATCTCAGGTATTTGTGAAATTTAAAACCTGTTGTGTAGTGTACAGCTTATTTATGTGAATTGTATGCGTGATTCATTTATCAATTTTTAAATTAACTTTTAATTGTGAGTTGTCTCTAGTTCGGAAAGATTTCTAGTCAAACTCAACTATATTATAATACTAACTAAGGAGGTTTTGATTCTGGTAATGAAATTATAGAGTATAATCTTTTAAATTACTGTACAATTTTAGTAAGGAATAGTATGTTTTGTTATTCTATCATAATAGATTTATTTTCTAGTTTGAAGGATTTCCATCCAGTCTTTCTAGTAGGAGTTTAACTGTTACTATTTTACTATTACCACAAGTTAAAATCTTTAGGAGTAGAGTGTACTTGTACTTAAAATTAAAATAATTAGTAGCCCCAAAAGTCGTAAATGGATGGATTTAAAAAATTCAAGACAGGCGTGTTTGGCCTTTAAATATGAGTAGTATTTTTAAATTAAGCTCATGAATGATGAAAAAATTTAGTTTTTAAACTTTTTGCAAAGTTTTTGGTTTGTATGTTATTGTTTTAGTACGATATGGGATAAAAAAATGTGAGCTAATATACTGATTTTGTAAAGTATGGGAAGCTGATATTTATAGAATATTAGTATGTGTAATGTGAGCCTGATTTTGATTAGTTACTGCAATCTCCATTCCAGAAAGAGTGTATTTACGTGGTTTTAGCGAATTTCCCTATAGGGAAGTAGCTATTACCGTAGGTGGCACGGTAAGACCTAGACCCGGGACCGATTTACTTTTTCATTTTGATGTCCCCAGAGGCCAAAAACACCATTCGTTCAAATTTTTATATATGTATATATATACGTCCGTGAACGCGATAACTTGAGTAATTTTTGTCCGATTTTGATGAAATTTGGTTTAAAGGTGTAAAGCGGGATAAACTTGAATGAGTTCGCGAACCAGCACGATCGGACCATGGGAACGGGGCTTTACAGGGGGTTTTATGGGGTAAAAATTGGTTTTTCTCACTTTTGACCCTCAAAACACAAAATTTCCCGATTTCTCTTTAGACCTTTTAAAGAGCATAAAAAAACAAATAATTTAGTATATAAAAGTATTTTTGTTCGATTATTAGTAACGGAGAAAATTAAAAAAAAATTATAAATTTAAAATTCCCATGTTATTCTTATGGAGAATGTTGTTAAATGTTGTAGTTTGCTTGTTTATGGATATATTTTGATCAAACTTGGCAAATTTATTTATTTTGTACTAAGCTATCAATATTTTACTCAAAAACACACTTTATTAGTTTCCTTGTAGCAGGAAACCTAGGTACTCGTTAAACCTAATGTTATTAAAATATATTTAACTGAAAATCAATTCAGACAAATGGAAATTCGCTTAGTCGGTAGGTTTGCTGCGGCGGGGGTATTTAGTTTAGTTTATCTCTTTTAAAAACCAATTCCTTTTTTGTCAGCAGAAATAAGTAAGCTCTATGTCATCTATGTCTAGACAAACACACTGTTTATGGCAACTAACTAGTAACTATAATTATATTGATGAATAATTTCTCAAGACTACTAACAAATTTTATTTTATTTTAGATATACTGTACAGCTTTTTTAAAACCCAATAATTCCCTTTGAATATTTACAGGAACATCCATTTCCACCGCCATGCTGTTGGTGATTCTCCTAGGACTGGTGTCCCTGCTGGTGATTTACCTTCATATAAACTATCGTTACTGGACAAAGCGAGGAGTGATTCAAGAACCTCACTTACCCATTATTGGAAACCTTCTGGATGTTGTTCTTAAAAGGAAGAATGCTGGTCAAGTCTATGATGCGATTTACCAGTAAGTATTGCAGTACTGTAATCAAAGGAAGAGGTTGAGGCGAAATGTTTTGTAGCAGTTATACCTCAGATATTGTTAAACAAAATGTGGAACAATGCTTAAGGGCTGAAAGAAAGGGGGTGAAGGAAACTCAAGAACTTTATTGGTATACATATATTACATACATTTCCCAAGTATCCAATATCTCCAACAGCTGGTGACAAACATTCTTCCTAAACACAGATTTTTCTTCCAAGTCTGGTAGACACAATTAAACTGTCTGTGACAGCTGCTCATGGGCAAAGTTACCAGGGGGAGGCAATGCCTCCTCAAAGATTTAGAAAAATATTTGTTATGACATCTAATTGTTGGATGGTCACATTTTGTCTAAACTAAAAATTCAGCGTAGGGAAGCGAGCAGGTGAATAAGTTATGGGATACCCAAAATACATTTTAGGATAACGGCAAAATGTTCATCCTGACAAAAAAGTGCAATTTTAAGCACTTTAAAGGTGTGTAACTACAAAGTTAGTTTTCCTATTGTAACCTGTTAAAGGAGCGGGTGTCCATACTTTTGCCTAACCTTGTACATTCACAATTCCATAGAGTAAATCTGTTGGATTTGGATGAGTCAGAAGACATGTTGGGTCATGTATGGTGAGTGGATGGCTTTAATCTTCTACAGTACTGATGATTCTGCCCTTGCCTTGATTCACTCCATGATTCACTTTTGAGGCTCGTGTGGACTGAAAAATGCAAGGTTAAAAGAAACCAACAACCTCTTAAAAATATATGGTAGCTTACAATATAACTTTCATATGAAGATATTTTTAACACATTGCATTATTTACTTAATTCTTCTTTATGCCAGGTATTTGTGTTGTTCCACAGGAAGTATTGTAACAGCCATGATGCAGTTGGTGTGTACGAACTCATGACTCCGAACCTACTGCTGCTCAATCCTCGTCTGATCAAGCAGGTGACGACGACCGACTTTTCAAGTTTCCACGACAATGAGTTCTATGTTCGGAAAGATCTTGATCCTTACCTCTATTACGACCCTTTCACCCTCAAAGGCGATGAGTAAGTAACTTTTTACATAATTATACTTTGTTCATAAAATTAAGGCTTTTTAGGGGAAGTTACCCCTCCACTTATTATTTTTCCTTAATGTATATGTTGCAGCTGATTTAGGTTTTGGCAAACCTCGGATGTTGAACCATTGTTTTAAGGTACAGTATGATGAAGTGGAGGGGATAGACATTTCTTCCCCTAAAACTGCCTAAATGTTGAGAACGGATTAGTATTTTAAAATTGTGTTCTATCAAATCATGACAAAATATTATAACTCTCAACTACAAGTGTAGTGGTAGATAAAGTTTTGAAAGGGTTGAAGATAAGAGATAACAAGTTAAAAGATCAATTAAGTGGTTCTATCTGTGTAATTGTACGGTGGTAACTAACAAATAATTTATCATCTTACTAATATTATAAATCTGAAAGTTTGTGAGTTTGTGTGTGTGTTGCTCAATCACGCATAAACTACTGGACAGATTGGGCTGAAATTTGGCATGATGATAGCTCACATTTCCGATTAACATTTAGGCATATTTTTACCTCAAAAATCCTTTCGGGCTCCACCCCAGTGGCTCTGTATTTCCCCATGTTAACCTTATGATTATTCATATTTAAAGGGAATTAAAGAATTTAGTCAGCTGTTTCAACTAAAAAATGGTCCAATGATATGCAAAAGCACTAAAAGTTATAAGATTTACCAACAGGGTGCAGCACTATAATTTTTTCTTTATTTATGAAAACAGCTAATTTGAACTAAGCAGCAACAAAAAACTGTGATACGCAATGAGAACTAACTGTCAAAGTAGGATTGTTTACAGTTATGTTTATGTTTTTAATTTCATGAATAATTTGTGATATTTTGCAAATTTTTATTAGGTGAAATGATTTGAATTTTTTCTTGATTGTTTAGGTTAAGTGATAGAACATTATGGCTATCGGTGGGGCACACGGGAGGGACTAAGGCTAACATATCTTGTAGTGTCAGCGTTCGCCGCTAGGACTGCTAAGTTGAAAAAATGTAAATTAACTTTAAATTTTTTGTTATAAAATTAACTTTTTATTTATAAAATTAATTTTTAATTTTTAAAATTAAACTGTCATAACATAACCTAACCAACCAGACTTGCTGATAATATAAAAACTATATAAGATAAAAATCTAATTAATGATTACTTATAATTTTTAATTAATTATAAAATTAATTTTAAAATTTAGTATTATAAAATTAAACTGTCATAACCTAACCTAACCAACCAAACTTGCTGATATGAAAAATTTGTTGACAAAAAGTTAGTGCTGCCGGCGGGTTTCGAACCCCGGACCTCCTGAACACCAATCCGAAACGCTACCAACTATGCCACGAACGCCGCTGCAATTACTTCGTTTCGTTACGGTAATCATGTCGCCTCAAGAGAAGACATTAACCACTAGAGATATGACGTCACTACACCTTTAGCCTTAGTCCCTTCCGTGTGCCCATTCCTTATGGCTATGGTAGATGTGTAATACTAAAGTATACCATAAATTATTTAAAGAAGCAAATTTTAACAAAATGTGTCCTCCCCATTGCAAACGCAAAGCTTGAGTATAATTGCAATAAGCATTTTATACTTATATGCCAACCCCGTACAAAATACGGGTACTCTGCTAGGACTATATGTAGATTTAACAAAAAAGTTTAACTCTAATCTTGTACTTCTTAAAAAAAAATTGATTAAAACTGAATATAATTCAGAACATCTAGTTTAAACGTATAAAGACAAATTCTGGCAGTTTTAATAGGGAAAATGATCTTGTAGACAAATATCACGTGACCTCCTATTTCTTTCATCCAATTATAGGCATATACGATATGAATTTTAATTCCGATAATTTTACTGTAAAACACCGATTGTGTTGATTTGAAAAGCATTGAAGTGAGATTGGAGGTTGATTCAAACAATCTCTCGTTTGAATCCAGGTCCAAATGTCCTCACCCTCAGTGATAATTTCCATAGATAAAACATAGGCCTACTTCCTTAGTAGATTTCTACATCCTTATGGAACAGCTGAAGCAAATTTTATTGTTAGTTCTGTCTGGTGCACTGTAGGTGTTGTGTTTTGTTTACAATTTTTTTCTTCTTATTTCAGTCATTTAACACCTTTTAACCAAATAAAATGATCTAATCATAAACAATATAACTTCTCATCTAAACCAAAAAGTAAAGCACAAATCATGAAATTACCCCAAAATAATATAAACAAAATTTTGTCGACACTTAACAATCAGTGTCACCTGACATAGACTAGGCCCGTTTTCAAAAAAAGGCAATGCAAGAAGCATTTCATGTAACAATTGGGGAAACAACATTTTTAGGGTATTTCGACCCTGCTGAGTACGAATCTGTCTGTTGCCAACGCGAAATTTGAACCGGAAGTGTGTTATCCAAGATGGCGGCGAAAACTCTGTTTGCCCCATATCTCCCTTGTTAGTTGGCCTAAAATAATGGTTTAAATGTGTATATAGGGGGTTTTCAGATGCCAAGCACATTAAAACACTCAAAATTTACTTAAATTAAGTTTTGAGGGCATATATTCCAAAATGGCGCCCAAGATGGCCGCCAAAAACTCTAATTTCCGCATATCTCCCTTGTTTTTTTGTTGCTTAAAATAATTATTTAGACGTCTGTATAATGGTTTTCTCGGATGCCAACCACATTGCAACACCCAAAATTTACTTACATTAAGTTATGGGGGCATATATTCCAAGATGGCACCCGAGATGGCCACCAAAAACTCTTATTTCTGTATATACAGGGTGTATAAAATAAAGTCCCGCACCGGCTTAATTTTTTCTAAACGACAACAGATAAATCAATAAGATTTGGTACATCAACACCACACCTAAAAATCTACTTTTTCAAGGAACTATAAATTTTCTGTCATATCATGAGGACGTCCCGCAAGGAGTCAGAAGGAAATCTTAAATAGGAGCATAGGTCAATATGTACATAAAATTAAAGGTCTTTTTTAGTAGAATACAATACCACAAACCTCACTTCAAAAGGTTGATCCTGCGCAAAATGACAGTTGTTCAAAGATTCATTTAATTTACATTGCTATTATACGCTTACTCCTCAGGGGGCACAGCCCTAGGAATCGGAAGAAAATTGTTAACGTAAGCATAGGTCTAAATGCACATCAAATTAAAGGTCTTCACTAGTAGATTACAATGCCGTAAATTCAAGCAATAAAATCCGATATAATGCAATAAAAATGTTCAACCATCTTCCCTCTCACCTCAAAGCAGTATCAAACCATCTGAAATTTAAAAAAACCCTAAAATCTTTTCTTTAAAAAAAAAACTTATTACAGCGTCCGTAAGTTCCTGGCTGACGGCTAAAATAAACTATCAAACTTGTTTGATCATAGGTATCCTTAGTGTAAAAAAAGAACAGTTATTATTTCTTATTTAAGTCAAGAAACTGTATGTTTTGCTAAATGACATGACCAATGCATGTAATTGTTATTTTGGTTAAATAAATGACTTATTGACTTATTGACTTAAATACTCCCTATTGCTAATTTTGAATAAACTAAGGATTTAATACAAATTGTACTTACCTCAAATAATTATTTCTTATAAATGTACGAATGTTTACTTTCTTTTTACAAACAAACTTTTATAGGCGGTTGGAAAACAAAATATGTTACCTTATTAACATTTATTTTGTACACATGTATACAACTGTTTACTTTCTCTTCATAAACTAACTTTTATAGACAGTTGGCCAACATAAGACATTAAAAAGAATAAGAGTTGTTTGCTGATTAATGTTGATCAGTGCAGCCAACACAATGCTGCCATAAAAAAAACCTTTAAACAATCTATTTCATCCATTGAGACCCATGGTAAACAAACCTCCATTGATGGGTAAAGGTCAATACAATATAACAGTACATTATCATTGTTAATATTATAACCGAATTGTTTATTATTATTTATTAATGTGCTATAAAGAATCATTGTTTAGTTTAATTTACATGCACCACCTCTTGCGGATTCGAGGTATGGTCTAAAAAATAATTTTTACAGGTTCTGTTGGACTAAACGTTCAAATTTCATCAAATAAAATAAAATAATTTATTGCCGTAAAACATACAAAACATACGTATGGCATCGTCATATTTTACAATAAATATCTATTTACATAACTGGACACCTTAAATATGTGATAAATTCGTCAACATCATACACAATTAATTCTACAATTACTTAATTATAGGTTCTGTTATACACGCGTTATCTACGGTACAACCAGAGTACATTAAAACAATTTGCCTTCTAGGCTACTTTAACGATGCAAAATTTCAATTGGTATTTCAAAAATAGTAGCAAATATTCAGCCACTAATATATATCTGACTGGTTTTAAACACTAAATACAATAATACGCACGGAGCTCACGTAAGCACAATAAAGTTTTTATTGCCATCTTAGAAACATATGTCATCTAAACTCAAAGGATGTAAATAATGAGTGTTGCAATGTGATAAACATCCGAGAAAATACCTTTGTAGACGTTTAAATAATTAATTTAAACAAACAAACAAGCGATATATATATACAGAAATAAGAGTGTTTGGCGGCCATCTCGGGTGCCATCTTGGAATATATGCCCCCATAACTTAATGTAAGTAAATTTTGGGTGTTGCAATGTGGTTGGCATCCAAGAAAACCCCTATGCAGATGTCCAAATAATTATTTTAAGCCAAAAAACAAGGGAGATATGCGGAAATTAGAGTTTTTGGCGGCCATCTTGGGCGCCATTTTGGAAGATATGCCCTCAAAACTTAATTTAAGTAAATTTTGAGTGTTTAAATGTGCTTGGCATCTGAAAACCCCCTATATACACGTTTAAACCATTATTTTAGGCCAACTAACAAGGGAGATATAGGGCAAACAGAGTTTTCGCCGCCATCTTGGATACCGCACTTCCGGTTCAAATTTCGCGTTGGCAACAGGCAGATTCGTACTCAGCAGGGTCGAAATACAATAAAAACGTTGTTTCCCCAATTGTTACATGAAATGCTTCTTGCACCTTATAGAGAGGGATTTTTAAATTATGGGCCTGCTCTAACATGAAAAACGAGCTTTAAAATTAACAATGGGATGAAAAGTCTACTTCTGTAGGTTAGTCTATGCTTATGTAATTTCTTAAAACATCTTATAAGAGGTAAAATATGATTTAAATTATGACTTGATATTTTAATTTCAGATGGAAGCCCGTCAGAACCTCACTGGCATCCCTCATGGCTACAAGCAAAGTCAAGGAGATTTTTCCATACATGAAACAACTCATCCCACAACTGGACGACTATCTAGATAAACATCAAACTAAACAGCTGGAGGTAAACTAATAGAGATACCTTTAGGATGTCAGGTTCTTCAATTCTGATGAAGCATGATGTACATTTTGCCTCTTTGGGTGCTATCATCAGGAGCAATGTTTTATTTACACACTAACAGTACCGATGTCCCCTTAGTCTGACACAACATGCCTACCCTCAGTCAGCCCTGATGATCTACAGTTTAAGGCTTTTAAGATACGGCCATTGACTATTGGATACTACTGAAGGAGTAGGCTACTTAGTAAAGAGGCCGCTCTACTCTCTTTGAGAATTTACAAGATGGGACACCCCTATTTGGGCAGTAAATAACCCCAACACTTTTCTGACGCAGTCCATATAATTTTCATTGGTCAACGACGAAGAGGACAAGTACGGTATTACAAGTAAGTATAACACTACAAGACACTCGACACTACACCAGGCCCGTAGTTGTAGTGCGCTAAGGGCCCCAAAAGGTTATTGCGTTCTCTCCATCTACATTGTGGGAGGATCTCAACTCTCGCCGCCAACAAACCTAAAACCTCTTGCACATTTATTGAAGCGGCCCTGCACTAGACGTGCAACACGAGAGTGTGTGCAGTGCATAGCACTAGTCAGATTGTTGAATGGCCCTGTCGGTGACAGCTTGAGGATTATTGGAGGATGAAGGGTTGGGGGTGTTCACTTCCATGGCTGCTCTCACGTTTAGGCTCTTACTCATGCATCTTCCGTCGCACGCCGATAACCTCCATAGTACATCCTGTAACAACAACTGTGTTTATGTTAGTACATTAACAAAACTTTGCTCCTGATGACATCATGAATTTGATTAAATGTACATTGAACTACATCACACTACAAAAACCTGGCCATAGGGTAAACAATTAATTGTCCTTGAAATTAAATCCGAAACAAAATGTAAAATTTAAATTACAAAGAATTTTTTCATTATTAAGATTGTACTGTATCTAAGAATGAAAATAATTAATTTTAACACATAGAAGTTGTGCCACGTTTCCATTACGATGAAACTAACACAGAATAATTAGTAGATTCCTCAATTTTTTTATTTCCAGGCTAAGGATGAGCTTTCTTCTTTGTACATGATGAACACAGCCTCTAACAGTGTTTTCGGAGTGAAATGTAACTGCTTCACCGACCCAGACGCAGACTTTCGCAAGATGGGAGAACTCTTTGTGAAGGAGTCGCTTCAAAGCTTCTGGTTGACCTTGACATTTTTTTATCTGCCTCGAATCAGAGATTTCTTTAGAATCAGGTAGATTATTAGGTTATACCGTAGGATTTAATTTTTCCCCTCTAGAATGTTTAAACTATTTTTTAATACTTTTAGCTGACCTGGAAAGAAGGAAAGCTGTAATTTTAGGTTAGTTTTAATAATGAGAAAAATCTGTGAAATTGTAGCTAAATTTAGTATGGGTCAGCAAAATGTTCAATTTGTAATAACCACCAATAAAATCTGCAATTAATGGTGTGAGATCAGGGACACTAGAGGTTTTAAGTTAGTGTTGGGTGCAAGCAAGAGATAAGAGCTTTAACTGTGCACCAATACCTTCCCACTCTCGGTTCTCCCTCATCATTCCTCGTTGCCATGCCATGGCCAATGATGATGTTGCTTCCATTTTCTTTGTAAATTCGGTTTGTTCAATAGCATGAAACACCACCATTATACAGGGTGTCCCGGAACTCTCTACCAATATTTTAGGGCATTGCTCCTGGGTGGGAAACATACCTAAATATCATATTTAAATTGTCCGGAAGTCCTTAGTTACTCACACAGCCACCATTTTGTTTTTTTCAGTTATCAATTTTTTTCTATAGAATGGTCAAACATACGAAATGGAAACTTTGCACAAACATTTATGACAACTAGACGGCCACCATTTTGTTTTATGAATTTGAAAAATCTTCAAAATATTTTGGTAGCTTTGTCTAGTTGTCATAAATGTTTGTGCAAAGTTTCCATTTCGTATGTTTAACCATTCTTTAGAAAAAAATTAATAACTGAAAAAAACAAAATGTGTGAGTAACTAAGGACTTCCGGAAAATTCAAATATGATATTTAGGTAGGTTTCTTACCCAGGAGCAATGCCCTAAAATATTGGTAGAGAGTTCCGGGGCACCCTGTATAATTTTGGCTTTAGAATACGTTTATTGACATGTTTTTGCTAACTACTGTAATATATCATGTATTTGTTGGGGATGGGCAGGTAACAAAACTTAAGGGGATTTCAAGAAGATATGTTCACGATACTTAACGGTAACGGTATTATTTTTTTGTAGGATTTTCTTGTGACAGGTTTAGACTCATTAATCGTCTGTGATTTTCCTAAATGGCTAATGACGATGATGATAGCTCTAAAATAGTGGGAGATGATCACAATTTCTTGGTAATTGCTGGAGAAGATGATGTATCCACGATCGCAGAAAGATATTCACGAATTCACTGTGCTTGCAGGAGATGTCCATTACTTTGTCGCTATTGCAGGAGATTGTTGTCTCTGCACTCATAAGAAATAACGATTGTACCGCAATCACAGATTATATTACAGTCATGATGACATAGATGAAGTGCAATAATTAACACTGACCATTTTCATGGTACTAATCAATGGTATTTCAATGGTTTCAGGTGTTTTTTTTTTAATTTTTTGGAAATTTTGATTTGTATGGTAATTTATTTATAAAATAAAGGAAAAAATCAGATAAAAAACTATTTTGGTTAAAACTTTGTTATTTTATAGCCCTTTTAGCTATAATAAACAAAATGGTACAACCTTCATTGATGTTAAACATTCTGGTTCAAAAGTTATATTGTAACTGTTGAGATTTTCCCATTAAAACCCAACAAATGAAAGAAAATTGAATTTTCAAAAATATGGTCCTAGTGGTTTTGTATTACGACTTTGATTTTGTATATACGACTATCCGCAAAACTATCCTGATAATTAGACCAATTCGTTAGTTACAAGGAAAATGTGGTTTCGTATTCCACTATAAACTAGGTCCCTTTAGTTGCCATTGGCTGTATGGGCTATTAATTAACAGTTGTGTCCAAGGAATATGTCTGCCTCTTAGTTACCAACAAGACTACAAGATTGCACCACTCATCCTTCACTCATTTGGGTTAAAATATGCACATAGTGGCGTCCCCATCTTAGATAATTGATATAAAACTGATTGATAGATATGTTGGACCTTTTAACTCTAAACAAAATGCTACAACCCCCATTGATGTAAAAATTTCAGTACGGTATTGTAACTTGTGATTTTGGCCATAAAAATCATAGTCACTCTTGATAATTGTTGTTGACAAAATAATGGGAGAAAGTATGTATCAGATTGAGATTGCTGATTCCCTTTATTTATTGTTGTTTTCAGAGTTCTTCCGAAAAAGGTTAGTGATTATCTGGAAAACATGTTAAAACAAGTTGTTGAGCACAGAAAGAAAAACAACATCAAAGTAAATGATATCATTGGTGGTATGATAAGTAAATCAGGTATGTGGTAGATACATTTTTCCCTGTTAAAATAAGTTGCCTTTTTGTCTAAATTATCAAGTAAGTTGTGTTTTTTGTATTGGTATTTTGTGGAGATGCCGCACCTGCGGCTAAATATGCATAGGATAGTAACACAGTTTATTTTTAAATTGCATGGTAGTTCTTGAGAGTTAGAAAAAACTTTTCTTTTACAAAAAATCTATCTTTTTAATATATTAATAAACTGTAAATAATGAAATAACACTTCCTGTCAGCCCCGGTTTTATAAATGGGCAGACTGGGCATATGCCCAGGGGCGCCGGTGGTTTGGGGGCCCTAAACCACCGCCTGCCAGCACTAGGAAAAAAGGGGGGCGCTGATCTTGGGTTTGCCCAGGGCTCCCACTGACCCTTAACGCGGCCCTGCTTCCTGCTATATTACATTAAAAATGGTTTTAGCAAAATGACTAAAACATATCCACTTTACTCTTTACTTAGATTACTGTTAAGATTATTTTAATATTATATTGTAAAATGGTGTTTAATGAACTATTTGAAATTATTGTTGTCAATCAAATTAAATTTATAGTATATAGGTATTACGCCACATTGCCAGGAAGTAGACATCAACAGTTTAAGTATGATACTATCCGTGCAAGGCTTGTTGAGCGCGGGATTTCATGTGAGCACTTGATACTTTTTGCCACACTAACGGCAAAAGTTTTACAATAAGAAACAACAATAGCATGATGATAAAAGAAATGTCATAGTTTATGTATTTGGATGATGAGTTTATTTTAATCTTTCCACAGGAGACAACCTGTTTGACATTGTTGCCCTGGGAGTTGCAATATTTGTGGATGGTTTTGAAACTACCTCATCTATCGCCTCCTTCGCTTTGTATGAATTGGCAATGAATCCAGAAATCCAGGAAAATCTGTATCAAGAAATAAAAACTTCTACGTCTAATTCTACCGATATTGATTTTGAAACCCTCCAAAATCTTCCGTACCTAGACAAAGTTTTGAAAGGTACAAATAAAATAATCATTATCCTTGAATGAGAAGCATCCTTTATGTACAAGATGAGACGTTTCTTCAACTGGTTTAACGTAGTTAATAAAATCAGCTGAGCCGAATTCAACCATTTAGACAAAATTAAAGTTATATCAGGCTTGAATTTTGTCTAGTAGGTAGGCATATAATAGAGAGTACTTATAGCTTTTCAGAGATATTAAAAATTAAGGACACACATTTTTACGATCTTCACTGTTTTAAAAGAACAGATTAATAATACCATACTTTATTTATTATTACACATAACTTTTCCCAAAAATATCAATTTTTTTTCGGTTCTTCTATTCCAGTGTATTAGTGAATTATTACTTCCAAGGGTTTCACGGCTTGACAAATTTAATAAAAATGGCGTAGCTACAAAATATATTTTTTCAATATCATAATGTCAACAAAGGCCTATCTATACTAAAGCTATTTTATACCTGAGCATTCAAATTTTTTACACTCATTTTTATTCAACTTTTTTTGTTACAGAGACCTTGCGGAAGTACGCCCTTGTTTACAACCTCAAAAGGGTTTGCACTAAACGATGCTCCCTTAATATTGATGGAAGGAATGTGGAAATTGAACCAAACACTCCGGTAAACAATAAATATAGTTTTAGTAGTAACATATCAAAACCATATCCATTCCATTTTAGGGTTGGCATTTTGTAACAAACTAAAATAGGACATCAACATCAGTGCCCCTACAGATACTAATGGATTTTATTAAAATTAAATAAACTATATGGTTGTCTTTTGGACATACATGTATACAAAGCATGATTAAATAATTTCAGATTTATTCCAACCAACCCATGTTAGCATTTTATTTGAAGGATTCTAAAAGCAAACGTAATCAAATATAGGTACGAGTTCTTACAAATAATTTAGTGAAGAGTTTAAGTACTTTAATTTCTTTACCTACCTATGGTATAAATAATTGTATTATGTCTAGATAATAATTCCCTTCTACGGAGTACACAATGATCCAAGATACTATCCGGATCCAGAAGTTTTTGATCCAGAAAGGTTTGCTGATGACAATGCTGACCACGCTGATGTGTACTACCCGTTTGGAAATGGCCCCAGGATATGTCCAGGTACTGTTTATATTTACAACATGTTTTTACATAACAACAGTAAGTAATTTAGAATACTCTGGTTTGAAGCTTCAATTTGATGGATAACCTCTGAAAATGCTCTCCTAGTCCCTACGTCCCTCCTAGTATGGGGGACATAACATCAATTCAAAGTATTCTCTAATCTAATATATTTCCAGGTAGCAATGGTTGCAGAGTTGAAGTTGTTCACCCTATACCCATCAGAAATATAGGCAATTAACCTTAAACTTCATTAACGTCTTCAGCTAATCCAATAAGGATGACCAAACTTTATAAGTGTGTTTAGATACGGTTCAGATTATATTGGTTTACTTAACTGAATTTTGTTATTTGCTTAAAGTTCAGTTTATTGATTAAATCACAATACATGTTCTTCTTACAGGACAGCGATTTGCAGTTGCCCAAGTGAAATTGTTTGTCTGGAACATTGTGCTGAAGTATACGATCTGTCCAACAAACACCACTCCGAAAAAGTTGAAATTCTCAAAGAACGCATTGATGCTTGTATCAGAAGAACCACTTAACCTGTTTTTTCATCGGATAATATGTTAAAAGTATGAATTATTTAGTGAAGTATGTTTAAAGTATTAAATAACCTTGTAAAACCTTTTATATACTACAAGAGTGGGAATAGTTAGTTTAAAAAATTGTAAAGGTAACTATGAAAAAATAGTAAATTTTGTAAAGACACTGAAAGTGAGATTAAGATTTCTGAGAAAACATATTTCACATTTTGAAGTATTTAGATCATCCTAGAGAGCTTATACTTCTCAACTCCTTTAGGTTAATATTTTAATTTTAATTGATATTTCTAGGAACATCTTTTGTAGAAAACTATTTTGAAAAATATTGGGAGAAACATTTCCTACCTATCTTTGATTTCAATTTTAGTTTTACTTAATTTTATGACAGTAAATATATTGCCTTTTATCAATCATATAACTTTATCAGCCATTGTATTATAAAAACATAGCCTTTAAACAAGTAAAAATTGTGTTCAACTTGATTTGTAAAAGGCAACAATGATGATTTACAAAAACAATTTAACATTTCTATTAAATTTTTTTTTGTAACCTTTGGCCAATAAAATTTTTTTAAAGGTTTTTATTCAAGTTTTGGAATTTTGTTTTTGCTTCCTACTATACATAGTATATGTAGAAAGTATTGTTTTCATCAAAACTTTTGAGTTTGGGTTTTTAGTGAATATTATTAAGTGTTAAAGCACAACTAAACCTAATGCAACTGTTAGATTGTTTTTCATCAGATAAATGAGGAGTGACGAAAGGTTGGGACAATCGAGTGGTTGTGTGATCATTAACAATATCGGACCAATATCTTTAATCCTGATGCGGGGATAAAAAAAGTGGCGACTAAATGTTTGTGGATAGCTTACGCTGTGAGTACTCATAAAACCATATGTTATTTCAATAGAAAATACATCTTATATGTTTAATAAAATACTGGGTGTCCGAAAAAGAACTGAAACATTTTAAAGGCAAATACTGATACCAAATAAGAGACTATATCTAATGTTTAAATTTAAAGCTTAAATTCTCAAGTTTTATTAGAAAATTTGTATAACTCTATATAAGCACCTTTGGTGGCCTGGCATAAATCTAAATGAAATTTGACCTCTTCCCAGGTATTGGTCAGTACTTTAGCGGATGTTGCACCAACACATGCGACTATTCTCTGTCGGAGGTGATTCAGATTCCGAATCTGCACCGAGTAGACATCATTCTTTACTGCTCCCTAAAGGAAAAAGTCTAGAGAAGTCATATCTAGACTCCTAGGAGGCAATTGGATGGGCCCTTCCCTGCCAATCCACCGATCGTCAAAACAAGTATCCAGCGCTTCTCGCACGTACGCAAACTGTAGTATGGTGGCACTCCATCCTGTTGAAAATAGACAGGGCCATTCTCAATGTCACCCAACTATGGGGGAAATTACTCCTCTAACATGTTACATTAAATGGCACCGTTTATATCCCCTTAAGTACTGGCCAAAACCTGGGAAGAGGTCAAATTTCACTTAAATTTATGCCGGGCTACTAATGGTACTCATATCGAGTTATACTAAGTTTCTAATAAAACTTGAGAATGTAAGCTTTAAATTCATGTATAAAACATATAACATAGTCTCTTATTTGGGATCAGTAGTTGCCTTTAAAATGTTTCAGTTCTTTTTCGGACACCCGGTATATTAGCAAAAATCCAATTAGGCTAATGGAAATTTGCTTAGTCGTAGGTTTGCTGTGGTGGGGGTAAAAAACATTTTGGCTTCACACAATACATGATTCATGAAAGAAAACTACAAATTCAACAAATGAGTTTAATGAAAAAAAAAAAACTAAGTTAAATATTAAAAAAAGAAAACATTTATTTCAGTTTATCTTATGGTACCTTTGGCTTGTGATATGGTGGTACAGGGTACACATAATAAAACATAATTTATTGAGCATGGATGTTACTCGTTTCAAATGCAATTCATATGATATATTCATTAGTTTTCATTTCATTTAACAAGAAGAAACCTATAGATTATTTTTTACATACAGTGGAAATTTGTAAGTCCAAACTCAAATATTCCACGTAATTGGAGCAACCCTTTCATTTCTATGGAATTTGCTGTATCCTACTGATAAACATTTTAGGAAAAATTTACTAAAAATAAAAAATAAACAACTAAGTGTTACTTATGAATGGGAATTTGAAGTAAGTGTCATCCATTGACAATATAAATCACCTCATATTGTTTTAACAAAATCTGTAATTTTCTGCTCAAACCAGGTTGACAATGCAATGTTGAGCTAGTGGTGCACGGTTTAAGTCACTGATTAAAAAACAATGCTCCTTTCATTAGCTTTACAGTTCCTCAAAATTAATACTAACTCTTATCTTATTTATTTAAAAGGTTTTTATTGAATTCCCCACATTATTACAATATTTTAGTTTCAGAACACAACAGTTCATTTTTCCATGGTTCCACTGTAGCAGCAATATAACCATGTTAAAAATATACAAGATACTACATTTTGTGTCTTTAAAAATGTAACTAATATCGGTAAAATCCGTATAAACATACACAATGAAATGTAATCAAACTTTGAAGTAATCAAAACTGTATACTGATTGTATATTTTCAACAAAAAACCTACTACAACTTGCGATACAAAACACAACATAAGCAAAATATACACTAAAATTTATATACACTCAACTATATACAAACTAAATGAGTTTCAATAAATATCACAGAAAGTCTTATAATTTTTTATGAAGTGTATAGGAATATGTTTGCGTTAGAATATTTGGTTATTTTTCAATCTATTTCTTGACGAGTATAAATGTGTTTGGATTTTCAATACCTCCTGACTACTGTTCATAAACAGCAGCATTACGGATGCCATTGTGAAAAGAAAGGATCTATCCACTTCACAATATGGTACTTATCCAAACTCTACTGGCAAGTTTTATTTATTACAGGAGGTTTAACTTCTCTAAGTAGGGGCTTGTTGGGTTTGTTGAATATTGTTGCCATGCTACTCACAAAAGGAGCGAGTTTCTTGTCTCCCTTTTTTAGTTTTACTGTATCCGTCTGTGAATTTGCCAGGATTGGTTTTACACTGATTGGTGGCTTCTTTAGCTCGTCTGATGAGGTTAGTTTCTGTTGCTGCTCAGTGGTATTTTGTTGTTCTGTAATCTTGTTGTTGAGCATTGGTCGTTGTTCAGTAATAAACTTTGGTCTTTGCTCAGAAGTATTTTTATCGAGCACGTGTTGATCCTCTTTGTTTAGCATTGGTCGTTGTTTAAAAGTCTTGCTATCAAACATTTGTCGTTGCTCGGAAGTCTTGTTATCATCCAGCATCAGTTGATCCTCAGAAGTCTTGTTGTTGAGCATTGGTATCTGCTCAGCAATGACGTTGTAGATACATTCTTGATCAACCTCTTTCTCCGGATAAGACGTCACTAGATTGTAGTAGTTGTTGTCTTCTTCTCGATCACAAAAGTTGTCCTTTAAGTTTTTGTACACAGCCTCCTGTGAAAAAACGTTTTAAAGTGTTAATTCAATGTACAGTACTGGTTTTATAAATTTAATGTTTTCAAAAGACTGCGCAGTTTTTGTATCCTGGATCTTTGTGCATTGTGCTATATCTCAATAGAAGACAAAATAATTGATAGTTAAGTGGTAAGATTTTATAAAAAAATGTTGGATTTGCTTTTTCTCTTTTTTTTAAAACATCCATTATGAGTTTGTTTTAAATATTCCAAAATAAGTGCTCACCAATATTTGTTTCTAGATCAAGTAAACTTAATGGACAAAAGTTCAAAAGAACAATCAATGTTCAAAAGTGACAAAGTTGATGGTTATCAGTTTATAATGACAAAGTTGATGGTTTATAAAACATTTTCCAGTTTTATTTAGCGATGCAACCACCCTGTCTCCAATTGGTGAGCTAAAATCCTGCCTAAAGAAACAGCTGATCTTGGTCAATAACAAAGGTACACAGGTCTTCTCACTCCATTCTACACTCATCTTTCACATTCATTCAGGTTGAATAAAGTCCCTTCCAGTCTAAACGAAATTAAATAAATTAGAGAAATCGCTTGGTAGCAAAAAAAAGTGGAGTATAGACAATTTTGAGCAAAGGTCGTACAATTTGTACCTGACAAACTGGCTGAGCATCAATCACTGAGTACAACTCGTCCTGTATAACTGGCCTTATTTTTGACTCGGGCATGTCATATGTTTCCTCTGGTCTTATTTTTGAGTCTGGCATATCGTACATCTCCTCTGGTCTTAGCGTAGACTCTGGCATTTCATACATCTCTTCTAAAGGAGTTGGCTGGGTCGTTGCCTCCAGAGGCAAAGAAGGTAGTCGCCGCAACGCTTGCTTTGGTTTCTAGAACACAACGCTTTTCTTTAAAATCATATTTTGGTATTTTTTTATGAGTTGTGTAGTTTTGGTTTTATGATAGTAAAATATAATAAATCTAGTAAAAGATATGTTTAAGCTCGTGGAAGAGGATTTGTTGGAAGGCTAATTTTATAGTGTTCATGAATTGTTTTGGGCATATGATCACTAGGGGTGGCTTCAAAGAAGTCTAATTTTCAACTCTTTCTTCAGCAACTAACAAGGCCTTGATTCAGAAATAAGGCAAGTCTTAACCTATGTCATAAAACTGTTGTGGCTGGATGCCATTGACGTGGATTCTGAGGAGTGTGGCAAAATGCCACACAGGTCAAAACTCCAATCACAGTGTCACTGACCACAAGAGAATCTCACTAAAGTTGGCATGATTGTGGTGACATATAATCACAATATTTCCGCGGTAAGATTTGCACAGGATCTCAATCTAGTGATATTGGCACCTCCCCAAAATATGTCTATGAATGAAAGTTATTCGAACTAACCTTTATTGCCATGCATTCTGGATGTCCATAGTCCATCACAATAATTGATTGTTTTGGGAATATACACGAGACAAATTTTAAGTTTACTAAACCAAAAAGTAAATGAGTAAAAAGTTGAACATTGAACCCACTTCATTGATAGTACAGCTCAAAACTGGACAAAGTGGTAAAAAATAGAATTTTTCTTTTGTAAAACATTTGAGCTATCCACGTTGACCAAGTGAACTAAACAACAAATAAAATGTTTTTAAACGGTTAATAATATTGTATCTTTTTAATAGCTTAATATATGGTGCATTACTTAACATTCAGTCACTGTCATAAAATGGTTGCTATCTTAATTACGATGATTGAACAAATTGTTTCTTATTTTATTAACCTGAATGTACCTGTGGTTCTTGTTGGTCTTCTATACAATGGTATAGTTCCTCTTGAACACTCTCGTACGTTTCAGACACACACCTGCCTCTGACCTCCGATACTCGCCTGGACTTTGGGTCTGGAGAGTCATAAGTTTCTTGGGGAAGTGAAGGCAACAGGCGAGGTTCTGAGTTTCGGTGAACCTGTAACAGAGGATATCATCAGCATCAGGAGAAGAAGTAAACAGTAGAGCTAGTAGGAGCAAACAGTTTCAGGAATAATACTAAACAGAAATTAGGACCAAGGATGAAAGAGTACTAGGATTAATGGGGGTAGTAAACAGGCCTATAGAACCCAGGGGTGAACAGTATCAGAAGTAATTCTTAATATTACTAGTATAGAGGGAGGAGATTATTCTGAGAAGGAACAGGAGAAGGATTGACTGCCAGCATCAATGGTAAGCCGTATAATTCCAGTCCAGTAGTAGTAATTCCTAGTGGTGTCAGTTGGAAGGGTATAGAGTATCAAGAGAAGAACCAGGAAAACAAAAAAAAACTGTTAGGATCAACAAATAGTAACAGGAGTAATTCCAAATACTACCAGGAGTGAAGATTGAGATGATCAGGATTCAGGAGTATGAATAAACTGTAAGGATCAATGGTAACCAGTTACAGGATTAATGACAAATAGTATCAGGAGCAAGGGGTTGAGATAATCAGGAATTTGAATAAACAGTAAGGATCAATGGTAATCAGTTACAGGATTAATGACAAATAGTATCAGGAGCAAGGGGTTGAGATAATCAGGAATTTGAATAAACAGTAAGGATCAATGGTAATCAGTTACAGGATTAATGACAAATAGTATCAGGAGAAAGGATTGAGAGTATCAGGAGTAATATACTGTAAGGCTCGATAGTATTAGGAGTACCTAGTGGTAAGCGATATGTGAGAATGTGGTAAACCTTGTTAGAATAAGGGGTGATATAGTATCAGGAGTACTGGTAGTATTTGAGTCGTGGAAGGCAATCTCCAAGGACTTGTATTGGTCATCGCAACTGACCCACTCTCTAAATGTAGATGAAAGAAAAGAACTGTTCATCTTTTACCCATTAGGTTTAATGAGAGGCAAATGTTTCTCTGACCCACAGTAGAACAATGAGTGCAGGATGAAGTAAATACAATAATTAATTTGTATCAGTTAGGTTTGGAACTAATAAAATTGTAAAATATAAAGATGATAACAAAGGAGTTATATCTGCCATTTCAAGTTAAATGGATCCATTTGCCAGTTCTAGTTTATATGCTGCAAGGCGCTTGTCTTCAATTTTCTATAAATTGAATGATAACTACGAATATCCTCTTGGATATCATGCACAGTTTAACTAAAATGAATTGTAACAAGACCGGAGCAGGACCAAGACTAATCAGCACCTAACAAATGACAGTATATACAGCACATACAATGTGTATGTTTGCTGAAACATACGTTTCATGTTTATATATACAGGGTGGAAAAAAAATAAAGATGGACCTACCAAACTTTATTTCCTAGTCATAAAAAATATATGAAAACAATATTCAGTGATGCTCTTCAGGGGGACAGTCTGCTAGAATTTTCTTAAATTTGCAGTGTTGAAACTTTGAACGGCTGCCATTTTGAACTTGAACGGTAGCCATTTTGACTCAGTTGTTCTATTTGGCTAACGTTTCTGGCATTATATTCTACTAATAAAGACAATAATTTAAAGTAGGTACATATCAACCAATGCATACATTTATGATTTTCTTCCGACTTCCAGCGGGCGCCCCTCTGAGGAGGTAGCGTATCATTGCACAGCAAATTCAAGAAATCTTTGAATGGCTGCCATTTTTGACTTGATTATCCATTTGGGTTTGTTCTACATATATATACAGTATCTATTATTAGGCCTATATCCAAATATGAATTTGAGCAAATTGTATTTTGGTCTCTGGGGATATCAAAACAAATCGGTCCCAGGACTAGGATAACATGAGACCTATGGTAATAGCTAATTCCCTGCATGAAAAATTGGCTAAAAACAATAATAGAGCTTTGATTTTTGAAACTGTTTAAAAATTTCTATATTTTTGAGATTTGAGTTTTGAATTTAACACCTCACCACTAAATTTTATTTTGAATTGTGTACATAAATAACTAACTGTTCGCCATGTGACGAGGGTGTTGTGGCTTCGTAACACTGTTTCTGGCAGTTCGTACTCTGCTTCCGTAGAGACTGGTCTGATCACGCTGTCAGGCTGGTCGTAAGTTTCCAGAGCTGTCACGGCAGGCGGAGGTGATGGAAGTTGTCGTGTCTCTTCTAGCTTAGACGCCACATTGATAGCCTCAATCCACTTATCCATGTCTGATTGTTTATCCGCAACAAACTAAAAATATCACATTGTAAATAATGTGGTTGGATAATATTTTTTCATCACTCCTTAACGAAAGTAACTATTTTCGATAACAGCTGACATCAATGAAAGTAGTCGTTTCCCAAGCTCTAATTTAGGGTGAGGGAAAATCGATCAGCTGATTTTCCCTCGCTCTAAATTTACTTTCCCTCGCTCTCAATTAGTTATCCATTTACTCACTACGTGCGCTAGTGTTTTGTTACGATATAATTTAATGATTTGAATCAGCTGTATGTATAGTCAAAACTTCTTTTATTGTTTTATTTTACTGTTTAATCCAAATTTATTGAAAAAATACGTTTTGGAGTATTTTCTTTTATTTTTTGTTCTAAAATTAATCGAAAATATACGTACGTATACTTTTAAAGATTTTATTTTATTTTTATGCTAATAAAATTAATTGAGAAATAGGCTACATAGTTGTAATATTACTGAGGTCTGCTATTCTGTGTTTGTGTAATTTTGCGTCGTGATGAAAAGTATCGTTCATAACTCGTACCGAAAGTTATCATCCGGCACTTGCTCCATTATTCCCGTCCTCGGCTTCGCCTCGTACGTGAAAATAGCTCTCACATACTCGGCTTCGCCTCACACAAAAACTTCGCGCCGGAAAATGCCACTTTCGGTCCTAGTAATGGAATATACTATTTCATCACTCCGTAACGAAAGTAGCTATTTTCGATAACAGCTGACATCAATGAAAGTAGTTGTTTCCCAAGCTCTAATTTAGAGTGAGGGAAAATCTATCAGCTGATTTTCCCTCGCTCTAAATTTACTTTCCCTCGCTCTCAATTAGTTCTCCATTTATTCATTTCACTTACGGTTTAATTTAATGATATGAATCAGCTGTATGTATTCTTCAAAGTTGTTTTATTCTTTTATTTTGATGTTTGAAGTATTAGAGAAATATACGAAGGTTTCTTTTAGAATATTTTATTTTATTCTTATGCTTAAACAAATTGTTTGAGAAATAATATAGTTGTATTATTACTGAGGTCTGCTATTCTGTGTTTGTGTATTTTTGCGTCGTGATGAAAAGTATCGTTCATAACTCGTACCGAAAGTTATTATCCGGCACTTGCTCCATTATTCCCGTCCTCGGCTTCGCCTCGTACGTGAAAATAGCTCTCACGTACTCGGCTTCGCCTCGCACGTGAAATTGGGGTTCCCTGTGTTTGGCTTCGCCTCACACAAAAACTTGAGCGCACGCCGGAAAATGCCACTTTCGGTCCTAGTAATGAAATATACTATTTCTTAATCAGAAAAAAATAATTCAGACAGTTATAATTTTTCAAACTCTCAATTCAAAAGAAAAAAACCTATGAAACTTATCATTTAACGACCAAGGTACTGCAACATCATTTGAGCAAACTTATTAATTGAACCAACTTGTATAGTGTTGTCCTTTATATAAGTTAGCACCCAAAATGGTTTCCAATCAACTTCTAACCCAAACAAACAAAGTTATACACAAGAATTAAAGTATTAATCTATTTTAAAAGGTTCAGACTTCAAAGAGGTCTACTTGTTGTATCCAATGTTGATGGTTCCATAATTACTCTTGAAATGTTTTCTATACTTTACAAGCTCAATTTGAATGTTAAAAAAAAAGTTTGATGGTATGACCCAAGAATACTAGTATATAGTGTTTATGGATCATAAACATAAATAAATTTTGTTACTGGCCCGAAATTAACAAATTAATTAACATTGGCCGAACATTTTGTAACATTGATTAAACGGAACTGTGTAAACCATTACTGTACATTAATGTTATTAGTATAGGATTCGGGCCAGTTATGTCATTTGTTTATGTTTATGATAGTTTCTGTTCTAGTATTCGTGGGATGACCTAGTCTTTACAGACCAGCTGATTCATATTTACATTTTTAGACTCTACTTGATTGATCGATTACGGTACCTGGTAAGTTTTCTTTCCAGGAGCCACTAGTTCAAACTTGAAGTCAATCTTGTTGTTGGTAGCGACAGGACGAGCCTGGTAACCGGTAATGTCGACCACTGCTATCGGCTTGTTGTCTTTGTCCGTAGAGTACATGAACATCGACTGCTGCACTACTGCTGCCCAGTATTGCTTTGTATGGTCTACAAAGAGGAACTTTTCTCTGCGGCCCAAAACCCCACACTTGGACGCAGCGTAACGTAAAGCAGAAGCAGACAACGAGACTACCTCCGCTGATTCTTCACCTCGGGTAGAACTGGATGTAAAACTCGACGTGTCAGAATCTTTTTTCAAACTTATCAACGAGTTTCGTTCGGAATTTGAATTTGACGTTGGTCTACTAGGTAACGACGGTTTCTGCACCGGAGTGTTTGCTAACGGCGAAGAAGGATTTATATACATATTGTCTTCTTGGCTTTGGTTTTTAGTGAGGCAGTTCCTAGAATCTTCATCATTTGCGTAGGTGTTTTCTTCATTGGTTTTAGAGAGAATGTTGTAAAGGTTGTTTACATAACTTTTGTTGACTTGTGGTTGACTTTTGTAACTATCAAAAGAATTGTCAAATTCTTCGTAGCAATCACTAATCTGGGTTTGGAGTTTCTGGCAGGAGGTTTTTCCTGAAAAAAATTATACTTTATTGGTTTTGAGATAACACTGGTCCCATTGTACAATTGTATTACATTTCTCTTATTTGCAAACTTCACTATACAAAAGGTAACACTGTAAAGTAGAAGGCGTACAGAAACTTCAACTCTAGGACTGTGATAAACGTATTTCACTTTTGAGTGTATTGTTTTAGTTCTATAAACTAGCATTTATACTTTTGTTTACAGCACACTCATATTTTGTGAAAACCCATGAACATGTAATTTAATGAAGAAAATTATTTTGTGCAGAAGTAAAAACTTGTACTAATATAAAAACTTGTACTAATACACATATTGTATACAAATCTAATGTGCAAATAAACGATTTGATTTGATTTGATTTATAAAGTGTCTTGAAACGGATTACGTACTGCCCTACTTTAAAGTGTTCGAGACAGATTACTAACTATAATGATAACTTTTGTACAACATTGTAACTTGTTTGCTATGGTACTTAAACCAAAGTAGACATTCTTTCTTCGGAGGTTAAATTTGTAGCTATAGGGTAAAAATGAACACATAAGTTAATGAAGCTCTGGCAATCTTCTTATGTAAAACACTGTTTGATTTCTTATACCAAATTTTAAATCATGTAAAACTGAAAGGGAAACATATTGCAAACATTAGCATCTTGTATGTTACCATCAACTATCACGTAGTATGAAAAACACTAAAATGGTAATGACATTACCAACATTACCGTAATGTTAATGAGATGTCTCTAAAACATTCTCTTTGGGTACCCGTACAAATCTGGCTACCGCTGTTACATAAAGATGGGATGTCATCTGCAGTAGCCTATGCAAATAAATCAATGGCACTTCTAAAAGAAGTTTGAAAAGATATTTGCATTGTCAACTAAAAGTAGGAGGAATAAGCAGCAGTTAGACACTGTCTACCAAATAATTTCAAGTTATTCCCATCATTTACAGATCTGCTGTTTTAGATGATAGACCTGATGTTTTAGATAAATTTTCCACCAAAATTCATGGGTTTAAATGTTTATTTTTAGGGATAAACTTTTTATTTTGATTCTTAAAATACTTTGAACATGATTTTACAAAAGTATACTAATCATTTAAGTAATTTTTAATAATTACATTTTGTCTACTCTTCAAATTTTACGACAGTTACCGTTCATGTCAATGTAAGCTTGTGGAGGAGAGCCTTCTCGTATCATCAGTCGAGTTATCAGCTGTTGACGACACATCTCAGCATGTTCTGACAACTTCTCCTGCGCCAACGTCACTCTCAGGAATGAGCTCACTTCTGCAACAAAAACACTGGCTGGTGAAAGTGAACCAAAGATTTTTTCTGCAAATTTTGATAGGTTTAATGAAACTGAGAATCAGTTTAGGCATATTTAAAGCTGAATAAGAATGGAAGGATCTAAAAATGTATCGGATAAGTGTGTTCAGGTTTTATAGAAATACTAGCAGAGTACCCGTCCTTCGTACGGGGTTGGCGTATAAGTGCAGTTATACTTGCGTTTGCAATGAGAGTGGACATGGCTTAAGAAAATTTTGTTCTTTTAATTTACGGTATGCTATAGTACAGCACATCTTCCATAGCCATAATATTCTACCACTGCACCTAAATTATAGAAAAAAGTAAAGTTCTCATTTTCACAGCTTTTTGTTGCTAGTTGGTTCAAATTAGATGTTGTCATAAATGAAAACAAAATAATAGTGCTGCACCCTGTTTGTAAACCTTATAGCTTTTTAATGCTATTTAATATCATAGAACCATCTTGTGTAGTTGAAAAAGCTGAAAAAATTATTGAATTCATTTTAAATATGAATACTCATAGTCATAAGGTTAACATGGGAAACTCCAGAGCCACTGGGACGGAGCCCAAAAGGACTTTTGAGATAAGAATCACAGAACATGTTTTCTGTGTAAGAATGCGTCTATATGTTAATCGGGAATGTGAGCTACCATCACACCAAATTTCAGCCCAATCTGTCCAGTATTTTTCACGTTTACTTGTCACAAACATCCAGCCATCCAAACTTTATCACTTATAATATTAGAAGGAAGGATTCAACAATGTTTTCTTATGCTGATTAGTTTTTATGAATGTCATTTTAAGGTTTATAACTTTAGTATGTGCCATCTCAACTGGTTGAATATATTTAATCATAAAAATATGGTTGATCTTTTGGATTTAGGTGTGTCCGTGAATCAGTCAATAGTGCAAGGAACTGAGAAACCAAGACACTGATGTCTTCACTTCCAGCGGTTCCCCCTTAAAATGTATCAGTAAGGTAATTCTTGACTGTAATCACCCCTTGTCCAGGTTCTCAAAATACAAGCAAATGGGAGGAAGGTCAAGAGTGGTGGTCAACCCCTCTGTTATACAAAACAATTAAAAAAAATAAAATAAAATGACAAATAATTAGAGGTACATATGAAGTTTTGGGACTGCTTGGACGAATTCAAAGGGAATAAGAAATATAAGATTGTTTAATGAAACATTTAAGTCAACAATTGAATTAAAATAACTTTGGAAATAGCACCCAGTCCAGCCATTAGAGAGGCCGCTTCATTCAACCCTCTTTTAGAGGGTCGTAGATGCATAGATAAAATTAATGTTATGATTAAATATAATAAAACCTCTTGAGGGTGGTTTTTGACCCGACTTCAAATAGTCAATCGCTGTTGCCACAGAAAATTGTACGTACTATTTCACGATTGCGGATTGCACATGAGGCTTTAATAGCGTGAACCAGTTTTGTATTAACTACGTTATGCAACCAAGTTTGCAGTCTACACTCCGTTTACAGAGGAAATTACGGAATAACAGACATTACTTTTTGATAGCGAAGAGAAAACTGTTAATAGCAGAGAAGCAGACGACGTGCGCCAGAAAAGCAAGGCGGGAACGACGGTGACAGCTGGGACAAATCATGTGGTACATCAGCTGAGCGATCTGTACTTTCACTGCCATGTAGATCGCATCGACACTTACTTGCTGTCTGATTATCAAGTGTTCGGAAGAGAAATTGATACATAACCTTAAAAACATGAACTAGTTTCTATTCTAGTAGGTAGTCATATTTGATAAATCCCTTGAAATGAAAAACCCTGCTTGTGTACAATTATGTTTACTTGTTTTTGGAGAACGTTACCTAAATTAACGGTTGTAATTTCCTTATACAGTATTTTTAAACAACTAATTTTTCGTGAATGTCAAAAAGCCTGAAATAATATACTTCTCTAGAGTTTGTCATGAAATCTAACTATTGGCCTTTTCACGAGCTCTATTAAACGAAAGTATGTTTTATCTATGGTTTAACACTAGAGTACAAACCTGAGAAAGGGTTCTTTTAGTGGCTGCAGCATTCCTCATTTGGTGCATTGTTATTTTGTAGTGAACAGTAAATTTGCAGTAAATAGTAATTTTGACCACCTCAACGACTTAACAACATAAATGTGCGCGTCACTTTATACGGTTTTGATTGAATAGTTGAATACTAATGTATTACATACTAAACACGACTAAAAAAACAGAGTTACTCTACTAAAATACGTCTACAGAATTGTCCAAATCAATCTTTACAAAATTTCCCGCAATTGAGGTGTCTTACGAAGCAAACTATTTTGAACGCCGCCGAAGAGTGGATGGCTTCAAGCCAAAATCTTGGGGAAACACTCAGTTGGTGGTAACTAAAAATATGCATTTCATTGACAAATATTGAGCCCAGCAATGGCTCAAGGTAAATGGAGCCTAATATTTGAATGTTTACTGATTGTAAGGGCTTGTTTACAAACTTTACTTGTTTAAGTCGTTGAGTGATGTAGAGTAGACGATATTTCGGCCATTGGCGCAAGTTTCTTTGCGGCCAAATCCATTGTTGTACAGTAGTTGCCGTTAAACAAATTAATTTGTTTTGCATTATCTAATTCAAAAAGATTTACTATTTTTTCTATTTATTTTTCACACTCATTGTAGGAATAGTTGGTTGTCAACTAATCAATTTTGGACACTCCAAGTTTAACTCTTATTTTGTTGTAAAATTGAAAGTCTGTGCGTTTCATATTCGACTACCTTTTTGTGCCTATTAAATGTCTCATTTTATAATAGTAAAAGTAATCGTTTACAAATAATGGATTGTTAATATAATGTTTAAAAAGTTTTAAAACTGGTTGGACAACAACTAGTACACATTGAAACGCCTTTTACATACCGAACAGAATTAAGTTTTAAAACGACTTTAGCTCGACAATAAAGTAGTACATATATTTAAAGGATTAAGCCATATACAAACAACTTGAGGTTCTACAAAAGCCTAAGACATTTAAAGTGCACGATTATTCAACACTGCACCTCTAATTACATAACAATGACATCCAATAATTCAGAGTGCAGGACCGAGTGCCGTTTGCCTAAACACTTTGACGAGGGTCATTTTACAGACTGAGGTTTGGCGGTGCGAGTGCCAGCCAGGTATCAGTGACCGTTTCCACGGTGCGGCGGGTATGGGGGTGAAAACTGAAAAGATCGACCAGGGAGGGTATAAGCAATTTTTTTAGGCATAAAATGAAACTGTTTATAACCTAACTTGCTGAGTATGAAAATATTGAATGAAAGTTTACTAATCGAATCGATATTAATTTTCAATCGATATTAAGGCAGCCCAGTCAAGAAACTACCGTCCACTAATACCCTTCCAGAATCACTCTTACGCTCTGGGGAGTCAAACGTCACTCGGGCCTATCTGACGGTTTTGACCGTTTTATAACCCCCACGGCATAGAATAGGGAATAGGACGGCACTCGCTCCGTTTCCCCATAATTCAAGATGGTTATCAAACCCCTTAAAACCTGAGGTTGAAGAACCCAGTTGTGCAACTATAGGTTTTATAAGTTGTTGGTGGAATGCGCTGAGCAGGCGGAGGCGTTCTAAATGGCAACAGTTGGCCTAATTGACCTCAACATCTAGGCCTACCTTCAAACCTCTCACACTAGTGACTACAGTTAGAACAATAGGTGTGGGAATGCAACAAATTGTATCCCTTGAATACACTTCATAATTAATTAATTGCTTTTGCATAGATGTTTATTGATTGATTAATAATTATGTAAACTTTTACAAGTTAAATGTTAATTGGATGATTATTAATTATTATATCTTAGTTCTAATGATTCTTCTGGAACGTTTGTTATTTAGGTACAAACTATTTAAAAATACGATAGTTATTGTTGTTTGTAGAATTGGTTTAAAATATTGGTCATTCGGGCCGGATATTGATACCTACCAGACTTTTTGGTAAAATTGAATTATAAAAACTTTCTCATAACAGTTTTTAAAGCTACGTGCTCAATTTTTTAAATTTATTTTTTATCACTAGGCCTAATAGGCCTTCCTTTTAAATATTTCAAACTAAACCAACGTTAGTTGGTTGTAACACCTTGTATAAAGAGGAGAAATAAAAGGTGTTGAAAATTTGTGTTTATTCCTTAAAATATTAATTGGAATTCCTTACTTTATTCTTCTAAGATTATACAATTATTCTTTTATGGCTGAGTTCATACGATTAAGATTCCGGTTCGATTACGGAAATATTCACCAACACAACACACACTTCAACACAACTTAGTGTGTTGTGGTATTCTCAATGCACTACAACTAACAACAAATAATATCGAAAACCATTCAAATGTGACAACAACGCGTCTTTTACAAACTATTTGAGTGGATGGACTATTTGTCCTAACAAGCACAAGATAAGGCGACTGGGCGTTATCAAACATGCGTACACATTGTCAGTGTTTCCAAATAGTTAATTCAGAATAACGCTCGGGCTCAGTGGATGAAACATCATGATCAGATTTAAAGACGTCTTCAGATAGAAAAAAATAAGACCTCTCCTACTCAACAACACTATTAAGCAGCGTTGCCTCGGAAGTTGTGAGCGGAAGCGTAAGTGCAATTCCTTGAAACCCAAGTAAGTAACCGAGATCTGAAACTTATAAACCAGTCATGTAGTGAACGATTGCCATATACGACCTTTACTTGATGGGATAGCAAGATCCAAGCAATGGATACAGTATTCATTGATTCAGGTGAACGTCTATTTGACACCGACACCGACATTTGGGACTGGTGATTATGCAAATTATTAATCGTGAGATTTTAATTAATAGACACAAGGACAAAGATTCAAAATTTGTGCCACCATACGCTCAATATATGGAATACAAAGATCTGAACTACTATTGTAGTTAGTCCTGTCGCTCAACTGTACCGCCTACACACCCGACAG